AAATGACATGAGGGAATGACAAATGTAAAAAATTTTACCTGGTTTGATTCATTCGAATTTATTCCACAGCAAAGCTTCTTTAAGTTGAAGATGGAAACATACTGCAATTTTGTTCCATGATGCCAGTTCTTAACTGCCAAAGTTTTTATTAAAATATTTTTATTCTAAGAAATACTAGGGACAAAGTTTAAAATAGTGCTGTGTTAATATTTTTATCAGAAATTAAATTTAAAATTGATTTTCTGAATTCCATATTTCAATATTCTGAAATAAAAAACACGAATTTGTAATTTTTTTCTTTAATTTCAGAGACAATTTTTTCTTTTTTCTAAATCAACAGTGGGGACAAGTGAGGGAGTGACATATTGGTATATTTTAATTACCTAAAATAAATAAAAAATAAAAATTGATAATTTTATTTTTATTCTTTTGTTAGCATGCATTCTGAAGGACACTTTCCCTGAAAAAAAAATTTCGTAAGTTGTAAAACAAACATAAAATGTACTGGGGACATGAAAATGACTGTTTTTGTGAGAATGACCCATATAATCAATTCAACAGTGCAAGAAACATGCACTATTAGAAACAACACTATTAGAAACATGACTTATTTCCTTTAGATTTTATTGTGTGTTTTGAGTGTAAGCTTAGTATTCAATAAATTTCCATATCTTTTAAAGTTAATTTATAGATCATGATTTTAATATCTTAAAATATTTTAGTATTTTCCCTCTTGCATTCAAATGAAATGTTTCTTAATTTTTACTCTCAAAATGAGCTTGGTGTCCATTATTTTTTTTCATTTAGTTTTAACAACTGAAATTGATGATGTAAGTAATAAGTTTATTATTACGACATAAGTTATAAGTTTTTGACGTATACACATTGCCACACTTTTCATAATTTTATCTGATTCATGTATGATCTGATCCATTTTAGATCTGTGCCCGTCACTCCAGCACCCGATGAATGGAAAGAAACAATGTAGCATGTCCAATGGAGAATGGTATGGTATAAATTTAATCGATTTCAGAAAATTTCAAAATTGTATAAACTAGATAACTTGTTAATATGTAGGAGGTGCCATATCACATGTGAGACTGGCTATCAGTTCCCTGACGGGAACAGGGAATTAACTGTCATATGCCGGACTGGAGTAGGAGAGTGGGAGCCTATAGATACTTTTGAAGATTGCCTATGTAAGTATATTCAGGTATTTTATGGACATACAATTCTAATTAAAGATTATGGAATTAATAATACATGTTTTATTTTATAACCATTAAATTTTAAACCAATTGAAAAAAAATGTTTCATTTTCAGCTTTAATGTGGTTAAATTAAACATTTTATATATTTCCTACCTTATATGGGTAAATTATGACTAATTATAATTAACAGGTTTAATTAATTATAATTAATAATTTTAAATATATTAGTAATTAAAATTATTATTAATAATTTTAATTAATTTAATTTAATAATTTAATTAATTATAATTAATGTTTTAATTATAATTAACGGGTAATTTATGAACTCCCGTATAAGAGAAATAATTGATTGGGGGCCTATAGATACTTTTGAAGATTACCTAGTAATGTATTTTAATATCATACAGGTCTAATGAACCTTTATAGAATTAATTAAAAGTTTTATTTTATAAGCACTAAATTTTAAACCTTGTGACAAAAATTATTCATTTTCAGCTGAAATATAACTCAATTAAACTTTTCATACATTTCCTACCTTATATGGGAACAATTATTGAGAGATATTTCATGAACTCACGTAAAAAAATAAATAAAGCATTTTTTATGAACAGGGATTTAACAAATAAACATTGAAATAATTAAATATATTTTATGAACTCATGTATAAGAGAAATAATTGAAAGACGTTTTTTTTTATTTCCATACTTTATGATTTAAATCGCCGACCGGCCAGTGTAGGGGGCAGGGAACTGTCCTTGCATCAAAAAGGTCCTGGGTTCGAATCCCGGGCAAGGCATGGATGTTTCTTTCTCTCTCTGTGTGTTCTATGTCCTTTCTCCTTTGTGTGTGAATGTGATCCGCCCTATAAACGGGTTGTGGTTGTGTGAATGGCGTGGCAGAAGTCGAATTCCTGGCCATAGATGGCGCCACTGAAAAATAGGAACAATCGCACCCCCACTGCCTAAACAGGCATACGACAAAAAAAAATGATTTAAATCAAACATATTTAACGACTATTCAAATGAGCTATAAAATGAATAAAATAAAACACAAGAATAATATATAAGCATTAAATTGTTGTAAGAAAATCATTTGTAACTTTAACGAAATTAAAATTTGTTTTAATTAAAAACTATATGCTTTAAAAATATATTTTAAAGGTATTTAGAGTGAAAAAATTCAACAATATACTTAAAATTAATAATATAATTATGCGAAATTAATATCTTTTTTCAGCTATCTCTGTCGGAGGATATGGACAGGCTCACAACTTACAAACAGGTATAATTTTAAAAATAATAATTTTGAGATTTTTGCATGAAAACATACTTATCTATTCAGTTATAAAAGCCAGAACAATGAACTAATCTAAACTAAGAAAACACGTGGTTATATTGGAATTCCTTCAATATTTAAATTTCAAATAGGGAAAAGTAAAGAATAGAATTTTATCTAGTTTTTTTCTATATAATATGCTACAAGAAATTCGACAATTTTGCATTTGCGACATTCATTTTTGAGAAATGAATATCGCTTAAAATAATAATGCTAATTCTAATACTACATTATTTAAACACTTGACTTTAGATATTACTTTAAAGAAAATACTATCAATGAATTTTATAAAGAGCACTGTTTGGATTAAGTACAGTATAAAATGGCTCTATATTGAATAGTAAATAAATATAAAAATTTACTTATGTATAATTGAAAGGAGTTACTTTTGTTTTTCTTAACGAAAATATATTAAACAGTTCTTCCACTGTTTTTTGGATCATTCTGTATTTACCATTTGGTACACTTTGTGAAAAAACGACTTAATTCAACACACTAAAACATTTCATCAATAAAAAATACACTACTATATACATATAGCTACACTACTTTATGCATTACCTAAAATCTATACGCATACTATAATCATCCACTTATCTCCGCCACCCTGGACATAAGCGAGTTATAAGCTGAAAACTGCATAAAGCTCCAAAACAGAACGCCAACAATCATCATCATCATCATCAATAAAAAACAGCTTATAAACATATTCTATAAGCTAAACATATTTTCTCCGCATAAATCTTAATTTTTTTAAAAATTAATGATGAACCAAAACATTAAAATTTAAAAAAACAAAATGCAAAATTTTGCTAAGTTGTAAAAATAAATTTAATCTAATTATTTTTTTCAAGATGGTATATTAAATAAATAACATCTTAAATAAAATACTTCATAATATTGATATTTTTTTTGTACCCATCCCTGCACTTTTTAGAATTTTATCTAGAAAACCTGAAATATCAGGGAAATTTGAAACCTGATTTGAGCGGCCATCTTGCATTTGTACAAAGCTAAAGAAATGTTTGTAACATGCATTAAGTTTAAAACTGCTCAACAAATACAGTACGACTGAATTTCCTAAAATTCTAGAAAGGTAATATAGTTAAAACAGGAATATTTATAAAAGGGATATGAAATTAAAAAAATTAAAACCTTTCCAGCAAATTCATGTGATTGGGAATCCATTTTTCTCCCAGAATCCCTGTTTTTTTACTTCAAAATGCTTCCACCAGATGGCGCTGTAAGGAAGAAGCTTGTATATCAAATAAAAAGAAACTTTAAATCTTTCAAAGAACGATGTTTTTGAAACATCATAATATTTTTGAAGCATCAATCATGAGTCGTATTCAAATTTCACAACCAATGAAATTTTTTTTCTTATGTTATTTTGTAATTATAAAAAAATATTGAGTGATTAAAAAGTATTAGTCATAGTCATTTAAACAAAAATAATTAATGATAGCCATGCAAATTGCAAAAGAAATGTGAACAAGCGGCTAGGAAAATGACTCTTTTCGTAAGAAATACAAATTCACGAAAATCTAAGCAATATAATTGAAATATAATTTTTTCACTTTAAGTAAATTTAATTATGTTCGACCTTATGTAAACAGAAATTAAATTATCTTTCGCGCAGAAAAATAGAACCATCCTATTTCAATATTCAATTCATATTTTCTCGACAAAATTTCTTAGCCCAAAATATTATTAAGATACCAAACAATGAATAGAGTGACAAAATAAAAGAATTTTCTCAATAAATAGCGAAGTTATTATGAATCTCTTTTCAAAAAACTCTAAATTTCGAAATATTTTTTCGTTCTAACAATTTACCTCGAAGTAAAAAAATACGAATATTAGGAAGAAGGGCAATTCCCTAAGGAATTATGAACAAAAGAAACCTTATAAGGGAAACTCCATGTGATGGTTTTATAAAGTCAAATGTATGTAAATAGAACATAATTGAGACACACTTATAAAGGCTAAAATGTTATATAGATTTAAACTTACTTAAGCTTATACTTATAAGCTACATATAAATTAGGCTTAACTTTAAAGCTGAGAATCCATATGATTTTCTTATCGTCAGTTATTGTTCTCGATTCCGTGAAAAATAATTGGTTGTTTACTATACTTAATAGACAATTTCCTTTATTTTTTTATGTTTGCTTTATTAAAATCCTTGTAATTAAAATTGGAGTTTTAAAGGTCACCTTCGTCGCCTTGGTAACGATGTGCCTGACAGCAAAGTTACTTTTTTTCACACTTTAAGAGTATCTATAACTCATAACTGTATATTATTAAGATAATAAAATACTGGCGTAAGGAAAAAACGAGATTTGTGGATACCATTGTTACGGAGAGGGGGAAATGGGGAAATAGCTTAACCTTGAAACTCCTATAATTCTATTTACAAAAACTACACTCTATAACAAAAAAATCGATGCACAAAGAAGGAGTTGTCCGATTGAAACGAAAATTGGTGGAGAGGAAGATAATGTACAGAATAGTAAATGATTAAAATTTCAGAACAATTGAATAATTTATTGCAGAGTTACAGTAACAAGTTCAATAAGGTGTTGACCCGCCTCTAGCCTGGATACAAGCTGCCACACGGCGTGGCATAGACCGATAAAGCTCCCGGATGGTCTCTTGCGGTATTTCCTGCCAAATTCGATCCAATTGTCGAACGAGGTCATCAACATTCCGTGCCAGATGCAATCGCCTTCCCATCATATCCCAGACATGCTCGATGGGAGAGAGGTCTGGTGATCTGGCAGGCCAAGGAAGAGTTTGACAAGCTTGTAGACAGTTCATAGCAACACGTGTCGTATGTGGTGTGGCATTGTCTTGCTAAAAAACCAGCCCAGGGCGCTGCAAAAGGAACGGTAGCAAAACAGTCTTAGGATGTCGTCGACGTACCGCTGTGCAGTATGTGTACCTCTAATGACGACCAAAGGTGTCCGGCTGTCAAAGGAAATGGCGCTCCAAACGATAATGCCTTGTTGAGGGCCGGTGCGGCGTTCATTAGTGAAGGCAGGATCTCCCCTCTGTCCTGTGCGTCTCCAAACACGTCTTCGATGATCGTCAGGACACAGTTGGAAGCGGGATTCGTCGCTAAAGACTATATGTCCCAAGTCGGCATCATTCCAGCCATATCTGTTCAAAACATTCATGCATACGAAATTTCAAAGCAATCGGATGATTGCTTCTTGGTGCGTCGATTTTTTTGTTATAGAGTGTATAAATGATATTTAACTAAATTTGAAGTTAAATGTTCATTTTCAATATATTTCTTTCATAGCAATTATTTAAAGTAATTAAAATGTATGTCAGTATATTATAATATATTCAAATATAACTTGCAAAAGTACTGTTCTTTGACAGACAAAACATAATTTTTATAGGAATCTATGGCCAGGGTTATGATGCTTTCTCACAAGGTAAGCTAATTTTTTCATTGTACTATAGTACCTTATGAACCGTTTATGAAGACATTGAATATCTGCATTTAGTATAAGAAATGTGCAAAATTATAAATTTTATGATATGAAAAGTTTTACTAATTCTACTAAAAATGTATGTTCTTACTGAAACTTGTAATGCTTCTACCTCAACAAGTGTTTTTTTTTCTTCTTTTTTTTTCAATTTACTTATTCGTAATTTTTGAGCCTCGTGCACTATTATAATATCCATGTTTGATGAGTAATTATTTGATTATTTTAAGCATTTCATAAGAAAATTAAATGCAATAATCGTTTACTTGAGTGAGTTTGATGAGTGATATTTCAAATTTTTGTAAAATATTTTTAATTAATGAATTATCTTTTATATTGAAATTCTTGAGTACATATAAGCCTCTTTTATTTGTTATCAGAAATTCATTCATTATAACTGTTATAAATTTCAGATTCTTCTAAATAACCTTTTTTATACTCTTTTCAAGAATGGTTTAATTTTTTTAAAAACAGTTTGATTGCGTTGGTTTTTCATCGTACCTCACTTTGCAGACGTTATGGAAATTTATAAGTAGATTAGTAAATCATAATAATATTTAATAAATTTTATGACTCAGTCTCATTTTCTCGCAATTAATGAAAAGAATTGGAGATCAAAGGTAAATCGGAAGTCGTCATGGGGAAATCTTCAGAGGAAGGCATTGGCTCACATTGGGCTGTCTGGCCAACTATGATGATCATCATCATCTGAATTTGATTCTTGATTGCTCAGGGGATAGAGTGTTCGCCCTCCAATAAGGTGAACCGGTTTCAAATCCCAGCAATGGCTGGTAGATACGAATTCTGCATCCGGCCTGCACCAACCACAGTGCTGATGTGAAATATTCTCAGTGGTAGACGGATCATGGGTTAGAGTCCTCTTGCTGTTAGGCTAACCGTGGGAGATTCTCATAGTCTTCCTCACCCTGTAACGGAAATGCGGGTTAGTTTCATCAAAAAAGTCCTCCACAAAGGCAAATTTCTCCCAATACTTGATCCAGAAGCTCCCTTGTTTTCTGTATTGGGTTGAAAATTGCAAGGATACGTAGTTGAACATTAGTAGTCGTAAACCCAGAAAATTGGGTCTGCTGTTCAATGACGGTTATGAAATATAAAATATCATCGAAATTTCCATTTTTTCCCCTCAATTCTCATTTGTCTTGCTGTAATAACATTTAATTTCTGGTTTAGATCTTTGCCCTTCATTAACTCATCCTCCCAATGGCAGAAAGCAATGCAATATGGCCAATGGAATATGGTAAGTTAAATTCTTATATCAGTGCAATGAATCAGTATAGGGTGTTTTGAACATAAGGTGACCAAAAATGGTGAACATAAGGTTCATGAAACACCTGTCTCGTATTAAATAATCACTGATATACTTACTGAATTATTAAATATATCGTTTCTTTTAAGTAATACAATATGAAAGAAGTTGAGTCAAACATTGGGATGGTATAAAAATATCTCCTAAAAATATTTTTTGCAAGAAAATAACACAACCTTTTGCGTTCGCTATATTTAAATTTGATACTTTCATAAGACAAAAAAAAAATTTTGAGAAAACAATCTGTTCTGTAAATACAACCAAATTCACTTATCTATTTTTATGAAAAGATAGATATAATAATCAAACATCATTTTTATTTAATATCTCATAACACTTCTTTCATTCAATTTCTCCATATGAAGATAAGCCTTTTTCTAGCTTATAAACCAATAACCAATAGAGGCTGTGCTATTCATTTAATGATTTTTTACAATTTTGGCTATTTTCTAAATCATAATTAAAACATACTAATTTAAAAGTATGCAAAAAAATCGGATGGAATTTTTTTTCCTCTGATCAAATGTATGAAAATTTAAGTTACCCAAAAATTTACGAAAAAGATGTGATAAATTTATTCACTTCAAAAATACGCGATAAATTATGACGAAAATATATACTACAAAAAAAATCAGGTAAAAATTTACTACACTGTAAAAAATTGGGGCACTTTGGATGCATCGTTCGCAAAATCCATTTTTACGGTAAAATATTATATCGTACTTTATTCACTAATAATAATATAATTAGAGTGATTCAGTGATTTTACGGTAATTATTACAGTAAAAATTACGTTAAAGCAAGTTTTTTTTCATTTCCCGGAAAATGTTTCGGTGAGAATAGATGTTACAGAAAGAGTACCGACGCCCTAAGTGCAGGTACTGTTAACAGTAATTTGATCCGGAACTTTATACAGTGTACACGATAGTATGGTATATTTTGAACAGAAACGTGTTTAAATTTTTCTCGGTATTACTTCCCATTACTACTGATGTTAACCTATAATTAAAATCCTCTCCTCGACTTAAATGGTATTTAACGGTACTATAATTTCGTGATAACTTATATCTTCTTGTATTTTCTGTTAAAAATAGCATGCAAGTGCCGTGTTTAAAATTTTTGATCGTGTTAAAACTTAATACTATTAAATCCTTATTATTAAATTTATTAGATCGTTAAGTTAGTTCGAATTTTAATAATATTACCGTAGTCCTGGAACTAGATATGATATGGAGAACTAAACGATGATATGGTTTAATATTGGCAAAAGCGAGGTTTATTTTTTCTCACTCTTCCCTCGCCATCTTGGATTTTAAGATAATTGTTAATGTTTCTAGACTTTGTTTGTATATAAAACAATAATATATTTTTAAAAAATTATAAAATGAAAACTCCGCTTTACTAGAATGAGAAAAATAGCGCCAATAACTTTCAAGTTTTTATGGAATTTTCTTCAAATGTATAAAACAATAAAATTATGCTGTTAATAAGTTTAAATTAAGTTTAATATTGGTAAATTGTGCCATACCCTACATTTATCAGTAATAAATATTTACAAATTTTCTCTTATTATTGTTCTAACTGATAAAAACCAATTTGGATAACACTGCAAAATTCTTTTAACGTCAACGACGCAAAGACAAAGATATTTATCAAATGTTTAAAAACATGCTAATACTGAACTACCTTTCGAAGATTGCTGATTACAGATTTGTATTTTTATAATTTTCCTTTTAAATTAAAGAATCGAAAGAACTGCACACCTTATTTTTCAATTTATTACTGCATTCTTGCCTTTTACATGTTTCGTTAGATATTGTCAAATAGAGTAAATATCGTCCTTCAGTTTATTCATTAAAATTAAAACGTTTAAGAATTCAAAGTTCCGTCTCCACTGCTTTAAAAATATCCGTCGCTTGGAAAGAGACTTCCTAATTGAGTTTGAACTGTATAAATGGTTCAAAATACAGATAATAGTTTTCAGAGTTGAACCGAGTTAAGTATGTAGTAACAGATCTTCCTTATTATTTTTAGCTGTGTGCGATGAAACAAATAAAAAAAGGTTTACTATTTGTAGGAGATGTCAAGTTTCTTGCGAGACAGGATTTCAATTTCCGGATGGAAGTACTGAAATTATTGCAACTTGTGAAACAAGGATAGGTCAATGGTCACCTTCATATACTTTTGAAAACTGCAGAGGTTTGAAATTTTACGATAATATCTTAAAATAATTCTTAACATAGCCTATTATTGTTAAATATAATGCATGTTGGTAAGTTAATTATTTAACTAAAGCTTCCAAATTATTAAATATCTTAAACTATAAGACTTTTTTTCGTTATGAACTATTCATTTATCAATTTTAGTATTTGCTACTAGTTTATTTCAAACCTAATCAAAATTCGTTTTTAATTGTTATTTTAAACTTTTAAACATACTTTTAATGAAAAATTATTTTGTTTACAGCTATATCGGGAAGCAGCTATGGTCATGGATATCAAATACAGCAAGGTAACTTTTAAAACATATAAGGCGCATTGAATGCCATAATGCGCCTGAAGCCTAATTTTGTAACTTATAAATTAACTCAAATTAATAAGCATATTACATTTAACAACATGAAATGTGTCATTTTGATGAAAAAACATTCCTTTTATAATCTTGAATGAAAAAAAAAAATTTTTTTTCTGTTTACCACACATTATTTTCCCAAAATCCATATTTTAGCTTTGCGACTTCACGCATTTCAACGGCACACAACCGTAACTTACAGGAAAAGGAAAGGTGCTCTCATTGATAGTAAAATCATCGTGATTTTGGTTATCTTGGCGATATTTTTGGCAAAAAAATGCGTTTTCTACATTCTGGAACTTCGAGGCTTTAGATGCATTAGGACGGTAATTCCGCGACTAGATATCAGAAAATTTGAAAAGTGAGTTATCCGCCACTTTTCACTTAAAAAAACGAACGTAATGGACTACTTTGGGTATTGAAAAGAGCATCTTTTATTTATAAGAAAATCTAAATTTAATCTCTAATCTATTCATCTACTTAACAAAATTCCAATCTATTAGCCTAAAGGATAAAAAAAACAACGTAGAAATGTTATTGTTCTGTAAAAATGTTGTGAAAATGTATTTGTATTGTAAAAATGTTCTTGTTATTCTGAAGCATGAAGATTTTATCCTTTGGCAAGTTAAAATCAAATGATTTAACTAAAGATTACACAAGTCCCACAGTGGACTGATCATAAAGACACAGTTCCTAGCAGAACACCGAAGTCAAGCATCACTGGTTTGCTGTCAGTAAGCGTGTCGATGACTATTTCTATCGGCCTACGTAGGGTCCGAGGACGTGCGGTATTGATCCTCGGTAAACTGCTCTACCACCACTGTTCTACCTTCGCGAGCAGGTCGTCGGGCTACCAAAATGGTAGAGCCATCCCCTCTGCAGAAGATCAAAATTGCGACGGCAAGTCTTCGGATTATTTTCAGGGATGTTTCCTAGACCGTCGCCGATAGCACATTATGCAGCTCTAGTGCGACATAAATAAAATACCTACTTACCTACATATTAAACATTATACAAGTCCTATTAAACTGGCCTTTCAAAAATTATACAAGTCTCGCAGTGGATTGATCGTTAAGACACTGTTTCATGTAGAACACCGAAATCAAGTTACGGTCAATATGCGGGTGTATGACCACTTTGATCAGCCTGCGTAGGGACCGAGGTAGCGTGATATCGGTCCTTGTTAATCTGTTCTACTGTAAAATGCTCGACTTTGCGGGCAGGTCTTCGGACTACCAAAGCGGCGAAGAGATCCCCTGTTCAGAGGGTCAACATCGTGATGGCCTAACTTCCGAGCATCTTCGGGGATGTTTCCCAGACCGTCGCCAATAGCTCATTGTGCAGCTTAAGTCCAATATAAATAAACAATTACTGCTGACAAACATTATACAGGATGTAATGTTTTTCTTCCTTTATGAACTGTACGCTAACATGTACTTTTCATTAATATAATTTATTTTAGATCTTTGCCCGTCGCTAAGGAGACCAGTAAATGGCGGAAAACAGTGCAGTATGTCTAATGGACAATGGTGAGTACCATGATGAGTGTTAGTTATGAACGAAATTTAAAATAATTTATTTAAATATTAATGTAACGAGTTCGTAGTATTAGAGACACCCGCTATTACCACAAGTTTAAAGTCTCTGTCTGAATTATAATATTAAAGATATAAAAAATTATGTATTTATAACGAATACAAATTTACTAACTTTTCGCTATTGCAAAATATTTTTTGAGCGAGAAATAACATTTTATAGAAAATTTACATTTTATAGAAATTACTTTTAAGAGAATTAATTTTATAGAGAAATAACATTTTATAGAAAATAGAAAAATAGCAAAATATATAAACGAGAAAAACGAACAAACTTAATTTCCTTCCTATAATCTTAACATTTATGCTAAACGATTTTTATATTTGATGATGAGAATTGTTCTTATAACGGAACATTTTATTATTAACATACATTTTATTTTATATTATCAGTTTAAACTTAAAAAATCTTCATTAGAATCTTATCCATTCACTCTTTTTTAAAGATCAATTCTCGAACCTGGTGAAAACTTCCGCTAAACAGAATCTTACGTAATAAATTTAAGTGGGAAAAAAAACTCGAAATTTTTCAAATGGCAAGGGTAGATTAAAAGAGAAATATGAATAATCACATACACTGAAAATCTACTTCTCATTTATTGAAAGGGAAACTTAAAAATTGAAACTTAAATCTCATAATTTAGAGTACTCTCTCACAATCTTTATCTTATTTTGTATTTCTTAATTAATTGGGATAAAGAACATAAAATCTTGATTTCAAGCTAAGACCTTAGACGAAATTCGTATTCTACTAGTGGCGATTAATTTTCGCACATTTTTCAAAATTTTCTATCCAAATGAAACTTTTCGAAATAAACAATTTCGCAATAAGCTAATTACGTTATTTCTGAGTGCTATTTAGCGTGGTGTGAATACATAGTTTATCTAGTATATTTTTTGTTCAGCTTTGCTAAAATTTTTAGTAGTTATTATTTAGAAATAAGCAGCTTGTAATGATTTTTTTTTAAATTTAAATAAATAAACAAAAAAAGTACATTGAGAAACATTGATTTGAGTTATAAAGAAATAAATCTCCAAAACATTTATCGCTCAAAATAAATACTAAATACTAAGCTAATATATTAATAAATTTAATCTAATTTTATATTGCCGAATTTCGAAAATCTATACTGAAACTAATAATTTAATAAATATAGATTAACTATACATAAATAATAGTTAGTTGTAAAGCTTATACTAGTTTATTGATAGCTAGTAAGTAACTAAATTCATAACTTATATCAAAGGCGGTTTTTGATGTATACTTCAATATATACGAATCGAAAATTGAAAATGTATTATTAACGATAAAGATAAATATAATGCATATAGGTGCTCCCAAATTATTCGATACATTTTTATATAATGCAATATCTTTTTACGATATTCAATACATTCTTTAACTTTTCAATAGATAGTTCTTCTATAAATTCTCAGTTAAATTAGATTTGGGAATTCTTAAAGTTTCAGAAAACTTTTTATTTCATAGCGATATATATATTTAATATATTTAAAGGATATATAATTCCTATTACTACGATCGAATGTAAAAGGAAAATATCCATGCATAAACGTTAAGGAGATTAATAGAATTTCCTGTGTTATAATTTATAAAATGATTGAAAATGAAAAGCATCACAACACAATTTCTCGATTAAGAAGTTCAGGCACATACTGATCAAAACTCGCATCTTCTTTGAAAGATTGAGATAATTTGTGTATAAATTACATTTTCTGTGAATGATGGCGATATTTTATAGAATCGATAATCCGATTTTCTTATGAAAACATGCGGTGAGCTTCACAAATAAAATAATCATATACGCGAGCGAAAATTAATATCAGGGAAATTTACAAGGAGACGATATTATTAATGTATATACAAAATAATATTTTCTCATAATTAATCATACTAAATTATTTAAATAAAGAAATCTCATTAGAACGGAATAGTGACCACCTTTATGTATATCTTCTTAAAAACCATTGACAAAAAGAGTTAGAAAACAGTCGCATTTAGGTTCACAAATAGAATTTAGGAAAAAAAAACAATAAAGTCATCAAAATTTATTAGTAATGAAGACGGGGTTAAAAACATCAAACTCTTTCTGATTTCTTGGTGAGAATTGAACTATTTTCCAATTACAGTCTCCAACTTCTCTCTGTTTTCTTCATTTTTATTTTATCAGTCACAAATCCCCCTACAGTCCCAAATCCCCACCCTACTGGTGATTCACTTTTATTTTTCCTCGTTTACATACTAATTTGTGACGCTTATGGCTTATTATTAATTATTGGGATTATAAAATTACATATTAAGATAGGTCTTTACGGAACACCCTATATAATAATTTAAGAGTGCCTGTGAGTAATATCAACCAAAAAGAGAACTCCCCTTATTTTAACACCACCAGATAATTATAATGAACAACGGAATAAACTTTTTTCCTGTTGAATTCAATTTTTTAACAGATCTTGGATACTTTTGTACAGTTGATAAGAAAAATCTGCAATCAGGTGCTCTTTCTAAGCTCCAGTATTTTAAAAGAACAATATGGTTCATTTTTTTAGAAATTCACAAGCTATATATAAGAGACAGTCGCATAAATGTTGCGACATCATCAGAATTAACGGCCACATCATCAGAATTAAAATCACATAGAAAATCCTTTATCACTAACATTCAGAAATGTCTTTATACACAGCTAGGGGGTTTCCCCTACTATGAACTGTTTCTTTGTGTGATTCAGAACATGCCTTAATAGGGAAGCGCCCCTAGCCACGTACGGCGATATTTCCGAGCATAAGTTCCTGTGCAATTTTAATCCTGATTATCAGCCCAAACTCCCCTAGAAGTTCGTCGCAAATTTCACGTGACCTCTTAATATATATAACGTTTTGAAATTTGTACATTTCCAAAAAAAAAAAAAAAATAGAATAAAAATAATTTCATTTAACTGAAGCTTTAAAAAGAACTGTAGCTTTATGAAAGAACTTTAGCTTTAGGCACAAAACTAACATCAGATTTAAAATCCCCTCAACCGAATTCGCAATATCCATTATTTGTGTAAATGAAAGAAAAAACGCTTTGTTCCCCAGTGCAATCTGTATAGTTTTAACTCGAGTGTGATTATTTGGTAAGAATGATTTTCTTTGTTAAAAAGAATATGATTTTCTGTATTTAAAATCACTATGAATTTTACTAGGAAAAAAGAATCCTCTCATAATATTATTCTCATAATATTATAACACACTACTGGAATATTTTTAATATTTAAAAGATCAGCATTAATGATGTTTGATACTTTTTGACTCAGAAAATGAATTCCATTGCATGTTCTTTAATAAGTATTTAATAAGTAGTTCTTTAATAAGCATAAGTATTATTTTTATGACACTTAAGCCACATTCTTATGCAACGCTTAATAAACGTTAAAGGTAGGTCGAGGTGATGACACAACACCTAGATAAGAGCAGGCCTCAGCACGGGTTACCATAAATATCCTTTAGTAGTCCAAACGTAATGACATGTTTCGTATTTTCAACCACTACGCAGCTTAGTACCCTTAACAAAAAGACATCTTTCTTATTTTTCATCTACTGCGGTTAACTTCGTTAGATCGAACTACTAAATTGATCCGTGCGGAGGCCTTCCCTCTTCTAGGAGGTGTTGGAGGACACCGAATTTATGAATTCTAAAACTCCTCAAGAACCCAATCAAGAGTATTGAACTCACCTTCTGAGTCGACTTAAATGGAGGCTCCATTAAAAATTTTCTTCACTTGCTTTATACTTATTTTGAGCAATCGAGTCTAATTTTTACCTCTTTAATCGACTCATCCGACGTTATTTTACCCTCTTGCCTCTTTAAGGTTTAGTAGGAGTATGATTTCATATTCTTAGGCTGAGCGCTAGGAACTTTTTCTTGGTGTCCGGTTACCAGCTCTTCACATTCAAATCGCCACGTGCAGGAGAATTTTCGGGAATCTTATCTTTCAGGAGGCTCTCCCTGCCACGCAGTGATTTGAATGCAGTATGCGGTGATTTAAATGTTGAAAATCACGTGCGAAATATAGCCTACTACGTCGCGTGGATCTAAGAAGAAGTTGCTAGCTCGTTTAGGTAGAACTTCCTTTTCAACTCTAATTGCCTTTATGGCAACTCCTGCATAAGTTTTGCTTTTAATCAACTAATTGGTTAATCTGCGGCTCTGTTCTTCTCAACCTCTAACGAGCGTGAATTGCTCATTATCTTCATGATGATCTCCACCAACTTTCTAACACAGGACTTAATTTTAGCATCCACGCTTTCAATGGCCTTTTTTTAGCGTTATTTGATGCTTTGAAAGCTTCCTTTGTGTTAAATAGGGAGAAACCAGAAGAAGGTAAACAGTGGGTCATTTAGTATTACTGTAGGTTTAACACTAGATTGCCTAAGGAAGTCATCTTGACTGCTTCTAATTTCAATTAAAAAAACAATGATGTACACCGAAGAGGCATTACATTATGACCACCCTCCATCTATAATAATGGGCTCGCCCAGGTTTGGTTTCTCGCCAAGGAACAATGTTTTCCTTGGGCACATTAGGACCTATAATCCTCATAGAACAATTCCTGACGTCTGTAAGCTACTTGAACATAGTTGCAGACCAGGTTCACCCAGTCATGGCAACAGTTTTTTCTTCGGGAGATGTTTACCAACAGGATAATGCACCATGTCATAAGGGTCGAATCGTCATGGATTGGTTCGAGGAACATTCCAGTGACTTTCAAGTCATGTCATGGCCCCAAATTCACCTGACCTTAACCCAATAGAGCATTTGTGGTCCTACTTGGAAAACCAAATTCGTGCTGCCACGCTACCCCCTCGCAATGTGAGGGAATTGCGGGACCAATTGGTGAGCGTTTGGTACCAGATACCTCAGATTACCTATCAGCACCTTGCGGAATCAATGCCACGGCGGGTGCTAGCAGTTTTGAGGGCTAAAGGTAGTCCTACATGCTATTAGCAGGGTGGTCATAATGTAATGGCTCTTAGGTGTATATAATGACACAATTTCTTAGAATTTTGCTACTTTTTTGCAACATATAATTTTTTTATTGTCAATATTTACTAGGTATATAACAGTAAGTAGCATAAAAAATATTAAAAATTAATTTCAAGCAAATTTCTTTACACATTATTTATTCTTTTACAATGCAGTCATTTTGACTGCTTTTGGGCAATATAGGTATATATTAAATCTCAGTCTTTCTAGTGTTAAGTAAAAGTTTATTGGTACTTTATATTTAATGAGACGTGCTTTATGGTACTTAAGACTTAAAGATGTTAAAAATTAAAAAAAGAAAGTTATCACTATTTATTACAGGAAGTGTCGCATTACTTGCTTGGATGATCACCGATTTCCAGACGGGAATACTGAAATGACACTTATTTGCTTTACAAGAATTGGACAATGGCAACCCAGTAGCACATTTGAAGATTGCAGATGTAAGTGTATGCTCAAATTTGGCGTGTGTTTTCAATAAGAACAGATTTCAAGCGAATGTCACCGTAATTCTTGTATTTATATTTTCAAGAAAATTATCTCAATTTTCCAAAGTGAATTACGTTTTGTTTTAAAATGCAAGTGTGGGAATTGCAGATAAAACTTTTTAAAGTAAATTTCTGGAAAAATAAAACTTTGAATAGTCTCCTAGGTTTCTTCAAATAGGAGACAAGAACACGTTTGATGGAATATTTAACAGAACTCAGTCACCCAAAAATTATCTCCTTCAGCAGAGTATTGACCGTTTTTAATTTTTGTCAATTAAAAACTCATTTTGTAATGTACGAGCGTCATCCAGTAAGTAAGTTTCCCTATTTTTTCTAAAAAAAGAACTCACACTTTGAAGAACATACTTATTGGCAACAAGTACAGCAATGTTTCAGCTATTTTTCAACATAGCCACCACAAGAANATTTATTCGATATTTTAATACTTACTGACGATAGATTAGAAGAAACATCAGTGTTTGGAGTATCGGGCAAATATATACCGGGCAATGATACTTGACCCTAAAAAAACATCAGTGTAGGATATACCAGGCAGTGGCACTTGACCTTAAAAAACATCAGTGTGGGATATACCGGGCAAATGTATACCAGGCAGTGGCACTTAACTAGACCTAGTATGACTAGACCTTTGGTAAATGTCCGAAATATATACTAGGTTTAGTTAAGTGCCACTGCCCGGTATACCCTACACTGATGTTTTTTTAAGGTCAAGTGCCATTGCCCGGTATATTCCACACTGGTGTTTTTTTGAGGTCAAGTGCCACTGCCCGGTATATATTTGCCTGATGCTCCAAACACTGATATTTCTTCTGATCTATCGTCAGTAAGTATTAAAATATCGAATAAATATAATTATATTCAAGAATAAATTAATATCAAATGGGATGTAATAAATATTTCGGACATTCACCAAAGCGGCTATGTGACTGTCAACATTCACCGGTGAAAGTCAACAGCTACCGATGTCGGTCATTCACAGTAACATGCACATCATTTTCATAATAACCTCATCAGGACATTTATTTCATACTTTGTCTAAATAGCATTCGGCATTATATATAACGCCTAGGACATTTGTATAAATATAAATCACTTCATACTTTGCCGGCTAGTTTCAGGCATTATATATAATGCCGGATTTCATACTTCGCCGGTAACATATTTACTAAGTTAAACCCTAAATACTAAGTTAAACGCAAAAAATGCTCATAGATTACTCAAATCATAATTTGTTTTTCTTCTTTTTTAACGCAAATAAAAGATAAACTAGCATTAATTGACGTTAAATTTTCTTAACTCTTTAAAATAAATATGAAAATCTTCTCCTAATACTTTCAAAGCTCAATATCTATCTGCATATGAAATTTCAGCTCGATATGTGATCCAAATCTAGGTTTTATTTTTAAATAAACCAATTACTCGCATTTTAAAAGCAAAAATTGCTTTTCAAGCATTTTTTTTGTCTTGCATTTATATGCAAGTTATAAAAAAAGTATTTTAAACTAATGGCACACATTCAACGCAACAATTCTCTTGTGTGGACTAGTATAGAACAGTATGACTGTACTAGACTTGAATTTTCTTCTGATCTTTGTAACCTCCGACATTTGAGGCTTATAGAGTAAATTTTTTTTCTAGTGGTAGTAAATAAAAGCAGAAATATTTATTAAATAAAAAAAACCTCTAAAACTGTTTTCAGAACTTATGGATTTACGCGTTTATTCTTCTGACTATATAAATAAGTATTTAAATAACTTATATGTAATGGTAAACAAAACTCTTTTAAATCTAATTTTTAAAAACATTAATACAATATCTCTTACTACAATGAAACAAATTGTTTGAAGATGCAAAAATTACATAGTTGTTGGAAGATGCGTATTTTTATTTCCAATCATATGTTACATTTTATCGTTGATGCAGGCTTCATAGAAAGTAACATTCATAAAATGGCTTTTAACAAATCGATGCCATTTTGAATAACAACTGCTTTTACAGCCGCGACTTTTTTTTAAACAAAAATATAAAAGTAACGAAAATATCTCCCAAACCAAAAAGAGCTTTGGGAAGAATCTGTCAAGATCTTGACATCTCAAATATTCTTTTAATCTTAAATTCGAAAACTCAAATATTCTTTTAAAGCAATGACTTATTTGTAATGAAACTTTTAAAATATTCAAAACTTTATTTTATACGTAATAAATTAAATTTATATTTTTATCAATTTAGATTTATATCATCTTTATTTTTTTTTATTTAGCGTCTTCAGGGGGTAGCTATGGACATGGTTATAATCAACAATATGGTATGTTTAGTATTGATTTTATACTTAATTAGTTCAGCTTATTTAGTTTCATATCGAATTGAAGTTTTGACCTCCAATTTAAAATTTTACATAATTTAATAATTCTTCAATTTTTTATGTGATTTCATGTAATTTAATAATCTTCTCTTGAGATGTTAAAAAAAACATGAATCTAAATTATATTTATAACTTTTTAGTGCTTTTACGCAATAGAATATGTTTTTATTTTTTTGCATAGACCTAATTCTTTAAGATTGAATTTACATTTTTAGTTCATTTAATAATTCTTCAATTTTTCATGTGATTTCATGCAATTTAATAATCTTCTATTAGGATGCTAAAAAAACATTAGTCTAAATTATCTCCAACTTTTTAGTGCTTTTACGCAATAGAATGTTTTTATTTTTTTGCATAGACCTAATTCTTTAAGCTTGAATTTACATTTTTGCTTCAATGTAATTTTTCATTCCATTAAACACCCTTTTAACATATTTACTACCCGATATAATTTAATAAAAAAATCTGCCAAATCTCTCTCCATGGCGATAAAATTAGGAATTATCAATTTCATTTTTAATTTAAATCCGAAATTTCGCTTATTGAAGCAAAAAAGTACTTTCAGTACAAGAACTATCATGACGTAAATTAGTAACCTAGGTTTTGCTTAGTATTACTAAAACTCATTAAGATATTATTTTTCAGTTTCTGGCTCAGGGGGTAGCAGTAGAGGCTCTAACACTCATTATCAACAAGGTATGTTATTTCTTAGAATTAATATAAACTAAGCATTTATTCTCTAAGCATTTCTTACTTCTGAATCATTTCCTTCATAAATTATACAGATGGAAATATGTTGGCTTGTTTCGGGGGGAAAAAAATGTGTGCTTAAAAGAAAGTGCAAATGATCACGAACGCGCAAATTCACGAACCGTAAAATAGCAAATCCGAAAAAGACAAAAAGACAAGTTTCCAACAAAAAATGGAGGATAAAATAAAGGTGAAAAATAAAGCAAGAAAACACGTGCCAGCTGCGAGGAAAATCGGGGTAGGATGTATTTTCAAGCACTATAGTAATATAGAAAAAAATTGAATCTTTTACTAGGGAAAATAACATTCATTTAAATGAAATACGATTCAAAAGCATCATGATAAATCATCTCAGCTACTTTGCTATTCATTTTTCAAACTACTTCGTTTTCTTCATTCACGAATTTTATCGATTAATGAGAATGAACGCCTATTTTTTAGCGCTCGAAACATTGCGACTTTTATCGACTATTATAATTTCTGAAGCCGACCGGTCTGTGTAGGGGGAAGGGAACTGTCCTTGGATCACTCCTGGGTTCGAATCCCGGGCAAGGCATGGATGTTTCTTCTTCTCTCGGCGTGTTCCATGTCCTTTCTCCTTTGTGTGTGAATGTGACCGCTCTATAAACGGGTTGTGGTTGTGCGAATGGCGTGGCAGAAGTCGAATTCGTGGCCATAGATGGCGCCACTGAAAAACAGGAACAATCGCACCCCCACTGCAAAAAAAAAAAAAAAAATCTGAAGAAAATTAAGTAATTACATTATCAAAGCCGTGGCGACTCAGTGGATGGAGCGTTCGCCTTCCAATGAGGTGAACCGGGTTCAAATCCCATCAGTAGCTGATCGATACGAATTCCGAAGTCTCGTACCAACCACAGAGTAGACTTAAAATATCCTCAGTTGTAGACGGATCCCGGGTGAGAGTCCTCTTGCCGTCAGGCAAACCTTGTGAAGTTTTCGTGGTATCCCTCTCCATGTAACGCATATTCGGGTTTGCTCCTCCTCGAAGGTAAAATTTCTCTCAATACTTCATCCAGGAGTTCCCTTGTCTTCTGGATTACGTTCAAAATTGCAAGGCTACGGAGTTGAACATCAGTAGATGAACACCCAAATTTGGGGGTTGGTTGTTAAATGAGGGTTATAAAATAAAATAAAATTACATTAAAAAAGGATATATTTATGCTTCAGTTTTTTAGGATTATGCATTTCAAATTTTTAATACTGTAACTGCATATTTCCATATTATCCATTCAATTATCTTTACAAATATTTACACACTAAATATTTTATAGCACTATACACACTAAATATTTTATAGCAAAATGTGAACCATTTATTTAAACTTGTTTTAAAGCAATATGGAGAGAAAAAATTGTCACTCTTCTATTTGTGGATAAAATTTTAGAGTTTAAACTCAGCATAGTTTTACTATCTTTTGCATATTTTCTGTCTGAAGGAAATTTTATTACCAACATGATGCAAAAAATACCGGTCCACCTGGTAATAAGTTTAGAAAATATTAATTTAAAAATGATTTTTTTTTTTGAAGTAAAACTTAAGCTTTATATATTTAGCATAAAATTTCCCTCTTAGCATGTGAATTAACAGCCAAATTTATATTTGAAGCCTAAGTTTTGTTAGTGATGAAACTCATAAAGTCGTTAATTTTCAGTTTCTGGGTCAGGGGGAAGCGGAGGAAGTTCTAGCACTCATTATCAACAAGGTACGTTTCTGTATTCCTTTAAACTATGCTTTTTCACACTAAGTATTGATCTTTATATAATGCCCTTTTTGTTTCGAAACTTGAACCAAAACTATTTTTCAACTTTGGCAAACTTTAACACCATAAGATAAACTTTTAAACGAACTCTTAATTTCAAATCGCTGAGAATAATTTTCACATTATGAATTGTTCTTATAATATCATGTGGGTCAAAATTATATTTTCCACCTGATGCAACAAGGTAAGTTTCTTTATGGTTCTAAACTGTGTTTTTTCACACTACGCATTTGAAATGTGAACGAAATTTGTTTTAGCTATCACACGCTTTGTTACAATAAAGAGATAAATTTAGAAACTATTACTTTCCCTTTAAAAGTAATTCTGAAGCTTTATAAATTTAGCATAAAATTTTACTTCTAGTGACGAATGCTTATCGATGCTTGTGACAAATGCTTGTGACGTTTTGCTTATCTATAGAACTCATAAAGACATTAATTTTCAGTTTCTGGGTCAGGGGGAAGCGGTGGAAGTTCAAACACTCATCATCAACAAGGTAAGTTTCTTCATGCCTGTAAACTACGCTTTTTCGCATAAAGCATTGAACTTTATATAACGCGTTATGTTGCAAAACATGAACCAAAATTATTTTTTCAACTTTGGCAAACTTTAATACTGTATGCTTTTGTATGCTTTTTGAACTCTCATTATCAAAATTACATTTTCCATCTGATGAAACAAGGTTTCTTTATGCTTCTAAATTGCGCTTTTTTACGCTGCTCTTTTTTGTAATAAAATGTGAACCAATTGAACACATTGTAATAATAAATTGTTGAAACGAGGCAATAAATTTGGAAACTATTACTTTCATTTTAAAAGTAATGCTTAACCTTTATAATTTAGTATAATATTTTACCTTTAGTTTGCGAATTAACAGCCTAACTCAACTTTATAGCCTAAGTTTTGTTTATCTTTGAAATTCATAAGGACATTAATTTTCAATATCTGGTTCTGGAGGTAGCAATGGAAGTTCTAGCAATCATTATCAACAAGGTAAGTTTCTTTATGTCTGTAACATGAATCAAAGATATTTTTTTTCAACTTTTGCGAACTTTAATTGCAGCATAAGTTTTTTAACATATATCCGCTGATGCACTCCATATCAAATAGGTACGAACTGATACTCATATTATGTATTTTTTATAATATCTCTTTGATCAAAATTACATATTCCGCTTGATGCAACAAGGTAAGTTTTTATTATGCTTCTAAACTACGCTCATTTTTGCTATAAAGCGCGAACTGAATTATGACACGCTTTGCTACAACAAGATAGCTTCTTAATGTGCGTAACTTTGTGAACTTAATCTCAAATCACTACAATGTAAAAAAAGTTAGTGTGTCTGAACACCAACAATGGTGCCAACTACTTTACACCAAAGTGGAGCTTCACTAAGTGTTCCACTACACTAAAACCGATAGTTCGTTGTGTAACAAACACTTGGAATATTATTTTATTCTGCTTGGTGTAAATAAGATTTGTCATTGAGTAGCAAAAAAAAAAAAAAAATTATAGTAAGATAAGATCAGTTAAACTACTTATACGATGAAATGTAAAGCATTAATTATAAATTTAAGATGCATTTATATTAAGTTGACCAGCGTCTCTTCAAAACCAAACAGATCTTCGAAAACTCACTGGTTTAGCTTTTTAATTTAATATTCTAAAAACATTTATACATCAGAGTTTTTCCGACTGAAATATTTTTTTAAAATAATTAAAAAAGCATGGACGTACGTTTTCGAAAGTTCTTTTAGAAATTTTGCTACCAATTTGCTGGGTTTTAGGAGGACACTGGTCAGCGTAACACATTCAATATTTATTATTATATTTCTAATATAATATATTTCTAATATAATATATTTCTAATNTTTGAAACATGAACCAAAACTATTTTTCAACTTTGGCAAACTTGAACACCATAAGATAAATTCTTAAACGAACTCTTAATTTCAAATCGCTGCAAATAATTTTCACATTATGAATTGTTCTTATAATATCATGTGGGTCAAAATTATATTTTCCACCTGATGCAACAAGGTAAGTTTCCTTATGGTTCTAAACTGTGTTTTTTCACACTACGCATTTTTTTAAAGATGAAATGTGAACGAAAATTTTTTTTTTTAGCTATCACACGCTTTGTTACAACAAAGCGATAAATTTAGAAATTATTACTTTCTTTTTAAAAAAGTAATTCTGAAGCTTTATGAATTTAGCATGAAATTTTACTTCTAGTGACGAATCAACAGCTTAACTCAATTTTGTAGACTAGGTTTTGCTTATCTATAGAGCTCATAAAGACATTAATTTTCAGTTTCTGGTTCAGGGGGAAGCGGTGGAAGTTCAAGCACACATCATCAACAAGGTAAGTTTCTTTATGTCTGTAAAATACGCTTTTTCATATAAAGCATTGAGCTGGCCAGGTGGGCGAACGGTTAGCGCGCCTGACTGCGAAGCCATTGGTTGCGGTTTCGAATCCCACTCTGGGCATGGATGCTTCTCTCTCTCTCTCTCTCTGTACTGTACTCTGTTGTGTGTGATGTGTGACTGTGGCCCACCCTATAAACGGGTTTGTGGCAGTGTGGCGCGGGCAATGCTGATCAACTCCGTGACTTTGGTTCACAGGTGCCCACTGGGTAACGCTAAATGAGTAACAATTCCAGAATCTTCATAGGCAAAGATTCAAATTCAGTGCCTGCCATAAGAAAAAAACATAAAGCATTGAACTATATAACGCGTTATGTTATAAAACATGAACCAAAATTATTTTTTCAGCTTTGGCAAACTTTAATGCTACAAGAAAAGATTTTTGATGTATGCTTTTTGAACTCTCATTATCAAAATTATATTTTTTATCTGATGAAACAAGGTTTCTTTATGCCTCTAAATTGCGCTTTCTTACGCTGCGCTTTTTTGCAATAAAATGTGAACCAATTCAACACATTGTAATAATTTAAAACAAGGCAATAAATTTGGAAATTATTACTTTCATTTTAAAAGTAATGCTTAACCTTTACAATTTAGAATAACATTTTACTTGTAGCGTGCGAATTAACAGCCTAACTCAACTTTGTAGCCTCAGTTTTGTTTATCTTTGAAATTCATAAGGACATTAATTTTCAGTTTCTGGTTCTGGAGGTAGCAATGGAAGCTCTAGTACTCATTATCAACAAGGTTAGTTTCTTTATGCCTGTAACATGAACCAAAGATATTTTTTTTCAACTTTTGCGAACTTTAATTGCAGCATGATAAGTTTTTTAACGTATGCCCGTTGAGGAACTCCATATCACATAGGTACGAACTAATATTCATATTATGTATTTTTTATAATATCTTTTTGGTCAAAATTATATATTCCGTTTGATGCAACAAGGTAAGTTTTTATTACGCTTCTAAACTGCTCTCATTTTTGTTATAATACATGAACCGAGTTTAACTATGACACGCTTTGCTACAACAAGATAGCTTCTTAATGTACGAAACTTTGTGAACTTAATATCAAAGCACTACACTGTAAAAAATTTTAGTGTATCTGAATACCAACAATAGTGCCAACTACTTTACTCCAAAGTGGGGCTACACTAAGTGTTCCACTACACTAAAATCGATAGTTCGTTGTGTAACAAACACTTAAAATATTATTTTATTCTGCTTGGTGTAAATAAGATTTGTTATTGAGTAGCACAAAAACTTATAATTACAGTAAGATAAAATCAGTTAAATTACTTATACGATTAAATGTAAAGCAAGAATTATAAATTTAAGATGCATTTATATTAAGTTGACCAGCGAGTTTTTAAAACCAAACAGATCTTTGAAAACTCACTGTTTTAGCTTTTCAATTTAATATTCTAAGAACAGAAATACCTCACAGAGGAGAGAGAATATTTTTAAAAATAATTAAAAAAGCATGGAAGTAAGTATTTGAAAGTTCTTTTAATAATTTTGCTACCAGTTTTTTAAGTTTTAGGAGGATCCTGATCAGCGTAACGCATTCAATATTTATTATTATATTTCTAATATATATTTCTAATATATATTTCTAATGTAATATATTTTTAATATAATATAATTCTAATATAATATACTTCTGATATAATCATAATACATGTATAATTAGTTTCTTAATTAAATATACACATGGCGTAGAGACAATATTAACATGAATTTAAATTAAGTTTAACAGACCCGAAGTAAATAGAATTTACAATAGACAAATTTATGTAAATATTCTTATGAAAATATAAATATATAAATACCTTTATTATACAACTACAATCATACGTGCCTTATATAACTATTTACGTGGTCAGTTTGTCAAATTAATCTGACGAGAAGATTGAAATTACTTGGCAAATTATCGACGAGGAGGTTGTAATTCTGTAGGCACAGCGGTCGATAGCTACGCCTAGAACTGAATTAGGCTTCGAACACCACCATCATAGATCGAAAATCTCTACCCCTTTAGAAAATCACATATTTAGAAATTATGTTGAATAATAATAATAAATAATTACACATTCATTATATGTAGCTGGAGTATTCTGACATTGATCACATCGTTTCTAATAAAAATGAAATTACATTTACCTTTAGTTTCCAAAATTTACGAAGCATTCAAAAATGACCAGAACACATCCTCCGGTTTGTAGACAATCTTAATTTTTTTTTCCAATGGCAGGCACTGAACTTTTAAGTTTTTCGCCAAAATATTGCCGAAGTATTACTCATTTAACGTTACCCAGTGGGCACCTGTAAACTTAAATCACGGAGGCGAGCAATATTAACCACGCCACACTGCCACAAATGCCCGTTTATAGGGTGGGCAACATTCACACTATAGAGAACAAACAGAGAGAAACATCCATGCTATGAGCGGGATTCGAACCCGCAGCCAATGACTCCGCAGTCAGGCACGGTAATCGCTCGACCATCTGGCTGGCATCTGATTATTCAATACATTTAATTTGCTGAAACTTTTATCAATTATTGGTGTTTAGTTTCAGCGACACCCTTTAAAGCGTGTATGAACACTCGATTTGGTATGATCTTGAAATTATGCAAATATTTAGAGTTTCTTAACACCAAATTCAGATAGGTATTACACCACAAGGTTTGCAGTGTACTAATTGATCTACACAGAATGCATTGTTTATTATAGTTGTTGGCTGAAAATTATTCCCCCCCCCCTGATGCAATATCGTAAAATTCCTAATAATTATTAACGCATTCTCTTATTCTGCAATACGCTAGCATAAAATCACCCCGTTGTAAAAATAAAATCTGTTAAAAACTAAGATTTCTACAATTTTCCCACAGAAAATTCCCATACTCTAAAACTACAGAAATATATAAAAAGAATCGCTACTACAACTTAAGTTAATTTTTTTGTTTATTTATTTTAAATGCATTTGATGATACGCTTCGTTAAGCTAAATAATTCGCCTTACTGCCAGTAGTTACAAGAAAGCAAAGCTCCGCAATAAAGTAAAAGTGCATGGTACTGGCTTCTAAGCACTTTTATGAAAAGTCTTACATCCTTGTCGCAATGGGGTCACTATCAAAAAAAAAAAAAAATGGAAATTGAATTCGACATGATTTTCACGTTTATATTCGAATTTTATTTTATTTAATAAATTAGTAATCAGGTTCTGGCAACATTAAAACTGCAACAAAAATTTTGTTTGCAGCTGAAACAAACACAATTTAAAAAAAACATAAATATCGTATTATATGCACCGAAGAGCCATTACATTATGACCACCCTGCTAATAACATGTAGGACTACCTTTAGCCCTCAAAGCTGCTAGCACCCGCCTTAGCATTGATTCCACAAAGTGCTGATAGGTAGTCTGAGGCATCTGGTACCAAGCGCTCACCAACTGGTCCTGCATTTCCCTCACATTGCGAGGGGTAGCGTGGCAGCACGAATTTAGTTTTCCAAGTTGGACCACAAATGCTCTATTGGATTAAGGTCATGTGAATTTGGGGGCCAAGACATGACTTGAAAGTCACTGAAATGTTCCTCGAACCAATCCATGACGATTCGACCCTTATGACATGGTGCATTATCCTGTTGGTAAACAACATCCCCTGCTGGAAAAACTGTTGCCATGAATGGGTGAACCTGGTCTGCAACTCTGCTCAAGTAGCTTACAGACGTCAGGGATTGTTCTATGAGGATTATGGGTCCTATTGTGCCCCATGAAAACATGTTCCTGGGCGAGAAACCATGAAAACATGGGCGAGTCCATTATTATAGATGGAGGGTGGTCATAATGTATTGGCTCTTCGGTGTATATTAGGTACTTTTACGGGGATCTAAGCTAGAAAGAGTTATAATTCATGTTATATAGTGAATAATTCGAAATTCATAAAATTATTCTATTTTACTCTAGTTTCTGGGTCAGGAGGAAGAGGAGGAAGTTCCAACAGTGACTACTCACGATGTAATTTTTATTTCTATATTTTTAGTTCTAATAATACAGTTGCTTGAAACTGGATTACATTGTAAACAAATGCCATTTTTCATGAAAAAAAAGTTTTTTTAATATATGAAGTATTTTTTAAAAATAATAATTAGCCACAAATTAAAGGTATACCTCAATGTTTCAGATTTTAGCCATTAAATGTTACTCAATTTTACTGAATCTGTAAGTTAAAACAACATAATTTGCAAATATAATTATGCCAAGTTTAGTTGTTGCTTCGATTTTGATACGAAAATTTATGATTTATTATTGTTGAACAACAAACCATTCATATCATTACGCAAAGCTTTTTTTCCCCTAGATCAATTACAAAAATCGATATTCACTTTTCAATTTTAATTATCCTTACCCTAATATTTCAAAAAGCAATTTTCTAGTTACCAAGTTTTGCAACTAGAAAATTATCTCTCATCTTTCAGTCAGAGAGAAGTTATTAGGATTTGTTTTTCTCTGTGATACACTAGTTACTGATATTTATAATAGTTAAATGCTAATTTTGTTTTTAATTACCATTCCTAAAGAGTCTGAAAATAGAAAAATTAATAAGCGGAACTTTTTAATTAGGAAATAACTGTAATATATTTCGCAAGCAATAATTACCTTTTTCAGTGCTTTTTTTTTAATATAGTATATTTATTTTTAATTTCAGTTTTATTAGATAGCGCTTTAAACAACTCCATTTTACATAGAACCACTTTTATAGTTGGATAAAAGTTTGCTTTTTTTTACTTTTGTTTTAATCAAGAAGACAGCAAATTTTATAAATAACCTTTATAATTAGTTACAATTGCTTTGATTTCTAATGATTAGTAGTTATAATCAACATAATTGCAATTGTGCAGCATGCTGTTTATAATCAGTGTTATAAATGTAATCGTTACCTAAAACTAATAACCTTTTACTTGCTAATGTCCCAAAAATGGAACATGGACTTGGAGTTTGAATTTTATGAGCATTTAAAATTCGAATAATATTATTCTTTATACATTTAAAATGCACATTCTGAAGTGATTGTTATATTTAGTTTAGTTCCGTTTCCATAATGATTTGATTTTTGATGAATTTTAGAAATTCGATACAATTTGTAAATCTTCATCCTGCTTGTAATATAATTTATGAAAAGTGTAATTTTTATAATGCGACTACAAATACTTACATGTTATTACAGGTCTATTAATATAACCTTCTATTAGTTATCAAATGTAAAATTTTATTTTGTATGGTGTAAGTTTAAACCAAATGTCCTATTTTTAGAACATTGGCGTTTCTTGTGTCCTATTTTTAAATTTCAAGTGGATTATGGAATTAAGTTGCGTACATTTCATTCATTTCTTACTATTACAGTTATTCACTGTAAATTGCGACGTTTGAATGGAAAAAAAGAGAAAGACTGAACGTGTTTAGGATCAAATTCTTTTGACATGCATTTGTGGTTAACAAAGTTAAAGTGACATAATGCTTGGAAAGCAATGCAAGATATGCTCTCTTTCATACTCAATTTTTTTCTTCTCTTTTGTGATAAGTTGATGACTTTCAGAGGCTTGTAATACTTTTTGAGTTATTTGACAATGATAGAGTTGAAATCTAACATTCAGGGTGTTTATAAACGTGTTCTTAACAGTGATATTTAATGGATTCTTGATTATGATAGTTTTACTTCCTGATTCTTGTGTCTTATTTTACTTCCGTGGTGAATTTGTTGTGATCACTTAAGTTGAAGAAAACCATGTACTTTTTTTTAATTTGCCTAATTTACAAAGCACTATGTATGCACGAAACAGGTTATGCACTAAATGATGCATAACGATACAGCAGCCAGTGATCTTGTTAGAAACATTTTCGGGTTAAGTTTTGGAAGTTCTAGATCTTTTTCTGCTAGAGTTTTTTCATCAAGCGTTATTACCATCCTATGTAGATAGAATATTGTTCTTTAAAATATAAAGAGGTTGAAGTAGAAAATCAAATCTTAGAGTCAAGTGCAAAAAGAAAAATAATAAGTAAATAAATAAAATACAAAATAACAAAAAAGCGAAAGCCTAATTAGAAAATCCAATTAGAAAGCGAAATTCAATGAGCCAACAGCATTGAAAAAAGCGAAAACAATTTCTTAAAAATGTCACGAACATATGAATTGTGCTCCTCTTTGTGTATTTTAAAAACTATTCCTGGAGAATATGTAAAATTTCTCGTCAGTACACAATAATTTTATGCATTAAAAAAGTTTTAACTAGAAATATATTTCTTAAAACAATATTTTACATTTTTATCATCACCGGAAAAAAAACATTTTTATCACCGCCTCTGTCAGACGCAAAAATCTGAAATTTGATGTTTAATGTATTTACAAAATGAAACTTAAAAGGAACACTAAAACAAACTATTGCAAACTAAGTACAAACTTAAAACAAATCATAAATACATACCCAAAAAATATAAATGTATTTGTAAACTGTTAATAATTAAATACATTTTTCTTAACACTATCCATTCTTCTTTACATAAGCCAAAACTTGTAATATTTTCTCAAGTGTTTCTATAGTATTGTTTCTAGATAGATGTTTTTCAATTTTCGGATATTTACAGGAGATAACATTGAATAACTAAACATGTTATTGCCTAATGTTTTTCTCTTAAAAAGCTCTAAAACACTTTGAAAATAAATAAAAGCTGAAAATGTGGTCCATCATTATATAGTCTCAAGTTCTTTAGTTTGAATAGAATTTTATTTTTGTTCTAACAAATGATATTTCTAGTTGCAGGAGGAGGTGGTGGTAGTGGAAGTCGCAGTAGTTATGACGAGCAAAGTAAGTTTTAGAATTACTTAAGAAATTTCTCTGACAAATTTAAACATAAATTTATATCAAACTTAATTTTAACCATGTTGAAATACATACTGACTAAATTGCTAATATTGCATTGCGTGCACTTATTTTACAGATGATTATTACTATTTTCTTTTATTTTGGGGGGATTTGATTAAAAATTAGCTTTTATTTGATTACATTTTAGCATGGTAAATAACACTTACTTGATTGAGACTTAAATAAGATTTAATTTTAAGAAAAGGCTATTTTGGTATAAAAACGGTAATTTACAAATCGTTATTAAGAAGGAAGTCGCCAGAATATATCATTAGCTAAAAATAAATTCAAAAAGCAGATCGAAATATGAGAATATTGTTTACAAATGTGAGTAATTTAGAGATGTTGAGTAGAATTGTTACCATCAATATTTTAAAAATAAAATTCGTTTGTTTTAAACAAACTTCTGAGATCGCAGTTTTTAAGTTTAAACAAAGTTTAAATAAATGCATGCGTCGTTAACATTTCAAAATTTATAAGATGTATAGTTTTGTGAATATTTAGAATTTTATCAGTCATCTTTTAGCAAAATATCCGCTGAGCTACCTTGAAATACGTAACTAAATTATAGTGTTTGAAGATTATATCAGAGTGGGGAATGTTTAGTTGATAAGTATGTTAGATGAAAAGTAGAATAATGGGTGTCAAATCTCATTTTACCCGAACTGATTTTCGCGCTCTGCTGAAAATAGTTCATATTAATACCGTTACATTTTAATTAAGTTTAACGCATTTAACATAGTGTTTCCTGATAAAATTTACCAAAATTAGCCATTATGTGGTTATTTCTTGGAAGTGCTACACCAGGACGACCTTTAATTCATTAAATGAAGACTGTACTAAATATAACTTTGTGAATATTCTTGTGTAAAATGACTTTCTCTTTGAAGGTCTCTCTTGCTTTCATTACATGCTTGTCTGAAATTGAATGAAAATAGCTAACAATCAATACTTGAGAAGTTGATATAATGTTCTCATTAATAAAAATTTTTGACCAAACTCAAATTTTTCTGAAATTATTTTAAATTTATTTAGACAAAATTCAAGAGATGTGTGTGGAACCAGCAGAGCCGAAGAATGGCGTGATTTATTGCACAAAATACAATGGCCAAAGGTACATGTAATAATGTCTTATTTGCAAATCAAAAAAATAGCATTGTTCAAGGAAAGCTGTCTTTATATATTATTGATATTTAGCTAATCCAGATATTTATCTAATGTTTGCTTTTATCAAATCTTAGTTTTTATTAAAGCATGATTTTTTCTAATCTGTATTATGATCTAACCTTTTTCTTTATATAATCTGCATTATTTAGTCTGTATCTTTGCATATTACATGTCTTTACCTAATCATTTTTATTATTTAATTTAACTTTATCTAATTTATGTTTTTACCTAATCTGTATCTTTATCTGTTTTCTTTCTTTCTCAAATCTTTATATTTATTTTTCATGATCTTCGTCTAAACGAATAAGTAAGAAAAATAAATAACAGAAATAAAGTATAAATAGAAGAAAACACAAAACAAACAAGTTGCTACAAGTAAAAAAGTGGTTTAACCCAATGAGGGAAGAACAAACTTAAACAAGATAACTAAATAAAAGGAAGGTAGATAAGAACTAGGCGTGGATGGTTTAAGTGCAAAGTCAGGTTTAAAAGATGCAGAAATTAAAATAAATTTTCAAACAAAAGAAAAAAATGATGTTCTGAAAATATCGCTAGCTAAATTTTTAAAATTTTTCAAAACATAAAATTATTTCCNATTTAAATAGCTGAGATTTTATTGCATTATAAAGAAAAGTTATTGAAACTAAATACAACTAAATAAACAACAGCAACTAAAACAAATAACAACAACAACAACTACTAATAACAATAACTAAATAAACAACAACTAAATTCCATTCGTTTAGTATTGCGTCATATGTTGTTCCTACTAAATCGAAGTAGTTGTGTTTTTTTCATATTATACCCAATTGTAGAAGAAAGTAAAAAATACCTTATACCTGTTTGAAAGTAAAAAATATTACCCTATTAAATTATGTGTGCATCAAAACAAATTAAAAAAATATTTATAGAATAACAATACTTTTATGACTTTTATTATTTTTATGCTAGTCAGAACCAAAACAATGTGGAAATGAATGCGGGAAAACTGGATCCTACCACGTGATTTCCCGGCCAATAAAAATGTAGCGTTAAACGTTTAACCCAACCTTGTTGGAAGTCGCATAAGAAGTATAAGAGAAATTGTTTATAACAATGGCCTAAATAGTCAGCAAAAAAAAATAAAAGAATCCAAACAATTTAAGTTAGTAATAACTTTAAACAAAAGGTGAATTTTGAAGCAAAATTCTCGTTAAGTGCGCAAATAAAAACTGCTCTTTCATCGAATCAAATTTTAACTCCGTATTTGCATTTCCACGGTCTAAAGATCGAATAAACATGGTATAGTTGTCCAGCAAGTTGAACAACTAATAATTCTCAAACTATTTGTCGAATTTACATCTTTTTATTCGGTCGTACTGCCTGCGTATTTTTCTACAACCCATAGTAGTTTCAAATTTTTTAAATCTTACAGCTTCAACTTAACAAAAAAAATTTAATAGTGCAAAAAAATCGCGAATATACTATTATTAAGTTATTGCAGCTAAAATTGAAATTGGAATATGGAGAAAAACTCTGTGTTAAGATCTTTAACAAGTATTGTCCTTTCATTATGTTAAATTTCCACTCTGTTAATGCATTCTTGTGGCCTGGAGAGTGGCCCATATGGTATTTTTTGCGTCAAGTTTGAAAATTAATAATTCTCGAACAAATTATTGAATATTTTTTAATATCTTATAGTTATAGTTTTGGAGCAAAAAGAAAAAATGCAACGTTAAACTGAACATTTAAAAAAGTGATGGCAGCGTCGGCTGCCTTGTCGATATTTTAATATAGAAAAAGTTTTATCCTTAAATCTTGCCAAAATTAATGTTTTATTCTTTTACAGAACTTGTCAAGTCACGTGTAATCCTGGCTACGAGTTCGCAGACAGATCACGCCAGATAAATATTAATTGCTTTGAACGTGATGGTCGTTGGTTATCAAAAGAGGATTTTGGCGACTGCCAGCGTGAGTAGCATTTTGTTTTGAGTATTGCTGTTCCACTTTTTGAAGTTATACATTTGTAAAATAAATTATGTTGTTAAAAAAATGATTTTATTTTACAAAAACAAACGCAAAAGTTAAGAGATAATTCGTTGGAAAAATTTACTTATGAGTCTTGTGTCAAACCAAAACAAAAAGTAATTTCATCGGAAAAAATTTATAAAAAAATTTATAATTTTCCTGACTTTTTTAGTCCTCAGTTTTATCGAAATTCACATCACTGAATAAGAAATTTATTTCTAATTTGTTAATAAAAAAAATTGAGAAAAATTAATACAATAATAAACTGTCAATCCCTTAAAAAATATAAGTTAACTCATGAAAATTCAAAACAGATAAGTTAAAATGTACAATTTCAAAAAATGAGATAGTCGGAAATTTACCAAAGATGTTTTAATTAAATTAAATAAAAATACCTAGAAAAACTGAAACAAACTTTAATCCTTCAATGTCTTAACAATGAAGCAAAAAAAAATACAGATATTTAAAAGAGAAAAAAAATACCTTCATTAAGTTATTTTAAGCGTTAGTTATTCAATAACTTATAGGAAGAAAACACGTTTGAAAAATATAGCTCTCGAAAAGAGTGCGGGAATTTTTTTAGTTATTCTATTCCAGTTTATGAATAAAAATAAAATAAAACAAACATTAATTTTATCGCTAAATACATAAATTCTTCATTTATTTTTGAATAGTGTAATTAGAAAGTCTATAAAGCTCTTTCAGTAAATTTTTTCTATCAAAGATTTTTTTATATCTAATAATAGAACTTAGTCAGTGGCGTTTTTTTAATGAATAAGCACCGGCATCACTGTGTGCTGAATGTTAACATTTAGCGGTGAAAGTCAGAAATAATGATATTTAGCAAATATATAAGACGCATTCTAAAAGCATCTTTAGTAATTCTGACATTCACTTATTTCGGTCTTTGATGGATTCGCAGTCATCAACACATTGCCTCCCAGTCATTAGAGAATGAAAAGAAAAATGAAAATTATTAAATAAAATCAACCTTGGAAAAAAATAAAAACAGAAGAATGTAAAAATTCTGTATAAAGAATAAATTATTAATAAAACATTTTCGGTACAAAATTAGAAATAAAAGATAAGACAGTGTAAGAATAATGTTTTATGAATAAAATGCACCCTTTCTTTACTAAGAAATTATTTCTAACTTAATTATATTAGTTTAATTTTTCGATGAAATTATATTTTCAAAAATTTAATTCTTTGTAATATAGTTTTATAATTGGTTGAATCTACCTACTAATTTGAAGATTGCTTCATAGCAATAATTTCTCTATAAATCGAAAAATAAATATAATTACGATAATTTTAGCTTTACAGAAAAAAATTGCTTCAGAAAAAATCTTATTTTAACCTTTAAGAGTACTTTGAGTAATGCACTGTTTATCTGGGTAATTTTGGAACTGAAAAAATTTAGGTATTTTAATGGATCATCCTAGATAATCTGTATATTACCTAGATAATCAGTAGAATTACTGATCATTTCGCCTCTAAACAATAATATTGATACTGTAGACCATATCATCATGAATCATGTAATAATGATCATGTTATAATGGACAAGAAGGATTAGTTTACACCATAAGGAAGCGAACATCGCATCATTTGCAACGAATTATCCAGTACAACACGCTATGTCAGGATCGAGCGAATAGTGATGTTTTGTAGATATTTTTATTGTTATGAATTTAATTTAATCACTAAGGGGACAACTAAATTCCTCTAGCATTTTATTCTTACTTTCTAGAGGGTTAGGTATTTCCGATTCGTCGATATTTTTATGATGAGTTTGCTATTGAGTGTGTGTGTGTCATTTTGAGGTCTATTCTTCTCACAGATTTGAGCATTTTGGGCTGCTCAAGATATTCCTGTCAGGCGTATGCTGAACTTTATTTCAGCTATAAATCTTTTTGGTTAATCATGATTTTGGGTTTGGATACAATAAACCTCTGGTCGATGTGCCTGCTCTTTGGAGCTGCCCAACCTATAAGACTAAGTCTAAGCTATTAATAGTCATGTAATACGTTCAAGTTGGCATCAGTAGTGTTCATCGGGCTCAAAAAATATAATATTGATTTTTAAGAACAGTCAGATTTCCAATCACATCTCAATTGAATCCGATCTCTAATAACATCTCTGAAAAATCACTTTATTTGAACACAATTGAAACTTAGAGGTGCATGTCGGTACAGTGAGCTTAATTTCGAAATCAGTATGAACGCAATCTGGTTGATTTGAGCTATCAGATCCACATACAGTGACTTAACCTGAAAAAGACGCAATTGCAAAATTTTGTCGACTCACTGTTATACTAAATCCAGTTGGTTATCAAGTTCATAATTGAAGTTACATGATATTTAATGAATCTTTTCAAAGTATTCTTCGATCTTAATTATTAAAAATCAAAATTACATATTATGACCAAATATACGAAGGCATTAAATGGCAATGAATCAAGTGATTTGGCACGTCTAATTTTGAAATTGACTACGAGCGTTTGATTTTCATGAAATTAAAATGTTATGTAACAAATGTTTTGTGTTTTCAGTGCTTTGTCATCCACCATGTGAACATGGAGGCACTTGTGAAATGCATAATCAATGTTCTTGCACTGACGAGTATCGAGGAAACCGATGCCAATATGGTAATATTTAATTAGACTGATTTAAATATAGCACTTTTTAAAAGCATATTTAGGTTATTTTGATTTTAATTTCAACGATTTTCAATTTCGAAGATCGTTTATATAGAAAGCGGGGTTTCACGTAAGGTGTCCTTAGTCATACTGGACATTTCTTCTCCTGTAAAATCGAATAAAGGGGAAGTTAATAATTTTATTTTATTTAATAACCATCTTTGAACAGCTGGCCCACTTTGTGGGTTTACCACTACTAATGTTCAACTACGTAGCCTTGTAATTTTGAGCCCAATCCAGATGACAAAGGAACTCCTGTATCAAGTATCGGGTGAAATTTTCTTTCGTGAAGGGCTTTTGATGGAACTAACCCGAATTTGCCTTACATGGAGAAAAAGACCATAAGAACCACCACGATTAGCTTGATTGTTAGGGGATTCTAACCCATAATCCATCTACCACTGAGGATATTTTTAGGCAGCACTGTCGTAGGTGCAAGCCAGATGTAGAATTCGTATCTACCAGCCTTCATCGGGATTCGAACCCAGTCACCTCATTAGAAGACGAACGCTCTATCCCCTGAGAATAAACTAATTACCTAACATTGTTTAGAGATTATTACCAACTAAGTGCATCAAAAAGTTGAGTTAACTTTCTGACGCAGATGGAAAAATAGTGTACTTTTATCTTTTTTTTGACATAGTGTACTTTTAGTGTACTTTAATCTATTTATCTATTTTTTTAAAAAAAATATCAACAGATATTTTTTTAATTATAAAAAAGTTATAATAGTTACTAAAAAATATTTTAGATTATCGGAATTACATTTGTACTAAAATATGTAATCGAACAAAATCAGTTTGAATTTTTTTTTCATTCATATTCAAAAATTTATCAATAATTTAATTTGTACTTTAAAGAAATTTTAATGATGAATAACTTCTCTTATATCTAAGTTACTGCAATAAGTGCAAATTTGAAAAACTATTGCTTGGAAATGAACTGCTTTTAGAAGATATTTCTTTTAACCCAGAAAAAGACATTTTTGTTCTATACTGTATTTCATAAGCTAAAATAATTGCAAAATGCTGAAAAATATGTTTAATAGAAATTCAGCGTCAAAGGGGTAAAGTTAAAACTGCCTTAAATTGGAATTGTGAACGTACAACTGAAATAAAAAAGAAAACTATCGAACTTTTTTATTAAATTTAAATCCGATGATCAAATTTTTAAACATTTTTTCAATTGCTACATTTTATAACTGCAAACTTCCTATATAATGCACACTTTCTTGAACTTCGCACCATTATTAATACTGTAAGACTTGAATTTTAATCTTAAATTTCGATTTATAAACTTCTTTACTTTTGCTTTAAATCAGAAGTTTATATTTAAAGGAAAAGCATTCCTTAATCCTTCTTAAAAATAATATTTATAATATTCTTGTGTCGGATAAGTTTCGAGAAAGTAAATTTAGAACCTTAAAAGCACTTCAGAATGTGTAGCTGATACATTGTTTAATTTTTAGCAAGACAGCAATTTCAAAAAGCTGTCATTTTCATAATAAATGTTTGATGGTTTATAAAAGCTACGTAATTGGCTGTTAATGACGCAAATGACATAGTGGAGGATAAAAGCAGTCTTCTAATTTTACAAGATTTTCGGATTAAATTCTTATATTTAATTGCTTTAGCTAAGAAATATAATCCGCGTAACGTTATGGAAATGTTTCAACATAAAAATTAGCTCTTGTTATAAACACTAGGTGATTGAAACTGATGATAACATTTAATAAAAGCTTCCTCCTTATTACTGTTTTTAAATTTTTGAGTTCTTTGAAAGTTTGTAAACACTATGTATTTAAAAAAAAACGTAAACGCTATTAAAACGTAAATTTTATACATTTAAAAAATATTGTTAAATATTTTTTAACGTGTTAGAATGTTATTATTATTAAAACAATATTAAAGCTATAAATTATTATTAAAACTATAAATTATTATTGCAACAATAAACTATTAATTAAACTATTATTAAAACTATAAAAGTAAAAGTACGTTAAAAATGATTATTTTTCATAAAAAAAGTTTATTCAGTAAAGTTTTGAAAAAGTATTTAAATGTAATTAAAATATCCTGCTTTATGCATTTAATTACAACCCCTGCCTTTAAATTTCCTTTAAAAAGTCAATGCAAATGTGATTTCGAGCATAAAAGTGTCAAAACTGATGCATGCTTTAAAAATAATTTTAAATGCTTTTAAAATAATGCTTTCAAAAATAATTTTAATAGCATCCCCTGTCGCTTAATTCCTTTCAAAGTCTTGGTTTATGTTGTATAAATCTTTGATTTTAAATCTAGTATTAAAGTAGATATTATTCATAATAAAGTAATTCGTTTATTCACAAGTTTGCGTGAAGATTTTTATTTAAAAGAAAGGGAGTTCTGAAATCATGTTAGAGTAAATTTAAGTTTACTCACAATTATAATTTTAACTACAGGTACAACGAAGTTCATTTAACTCATGATCATAATATTTGGAATATATTTCTTGCTTATTATGATTATTGATTTGTTGAAATATGATATTGAAGTTAGATGAAATTCGTGTCGTAAATAACCCATTATTCATTCGTTTTGCTTTTTATCTGAAAAAACGATTATACTTTAAACAAAATTTATATCAGAATCAAAATAAACTTTTTAACTATGAAATAGCATATTTGTTAATATGTAGATTGTGACAATGTTTAAAGTAGATCCACTTTAAAAACAAGAAATTATTTTATAAGGTTAACTTTTATAATTTCATTTAAAATAATTTTAATTACAATTTTATTTTAGTTTTTTTTTATTAAATTTTGTTTTTAGACAAACTGCTAAGCACTTACAACTGCTAGGCACAAAGTAAATTAAAAAGTGGAAGATCAATGAAGATATTCATTATTGGCATCTATATGAAATGAGCAATGTCAAAAGTCAAGCCAATTAAGCCTACCCCACGGTACCTAATGTTGAAATTCTAAATTACTTGGAAAAAGTAGAAAATCTTTATAAGTCGCTAAATTATTCAAGCAACCCAATTATGTTCGATTAATGTTTATGTGAGAGACATTGAAGAAACAATGCTTTTAATATTCGCTTATCAAGTCAATGAATAATAATAATTGGTTGTAGTACACTGTACAGTGCACAAAATAAAAAAAATGTACCACTTCTTATAACTTTTGATCTAATAATCAGATCTTCACGTTCTAGGACTTATTCTTAATGGTTCAAGGAGAGCATCTCAAATATGCTAATTAACTAATTCAGACGATATTTTAAATTATAAAATCAAACACAAAAGGATTCTTCTTTCTGAATAAACATATCTTTTGTTGAGGGATTTGGATTTTTGACCCCCAATATATAGGGCGTAGCCTCCATCTGGGGTATATGATCCCAATAGTTTAGTCAAGAGATCGGTTCAAAGTGTGGACCCCTTTATTTTAACTTTACTTTTTTGCGTTTTTTCCCATAACTCGAAAATTTTTTAAGTGAATTGAAAACTCTTTACACCCACTTGTAAAATTCCTGTATCCCAAGATAATTCCATGCAAAAAATAACTTTTAATAATATTTATTGTTTTTTATTATTTAATTGAACATTAGTCGAAAAAATTTTAAATCGTAAACTTTGAAATTTTTTACATAATTTTAAAGAATGTAATTTTACATGGCAAAATACAAAATTTGAGCGATATCAGTCANGTTCCCAAATGGTGTTCTGGAGAATCCTTGGGTTCTATTGCAAAGTGAAAGGGGTTCCATGACTTAATATTTCTTTTAAACCGATTTTCTTAACATTTTAGAAACCTGCAATTACATTTATATCCACCTAGTAATGCTATTATTTACTTAATACTTTGCTTTTATGAAATTATTTGAAGTAAAGTGCCAAGGAGAAATAATGTATCTTTCTTGTAATATTGAAGAAATTATGAAAAAGACAGGATTAAAAAAATTGCAATAGCTTTTTTCATTGCTCTTCAAATCAAAATAAAATAACTTTGTTAAATATTTAGCATATAACTAATTTTTTAACATTAGTCAAGTATACAATACAGGGTTCTGTTTAGAAGAAATTTGGGTCCATTAATGGACCCTTCACAAAATATCTTTTCATAAAAACGGACCCTTCACAAAATATTTTAACTTAAAAACGGACCCTTCACAAATTAATTTATCTTTTAATCGGACCCTTCACAAATTTGTTTATCTTCATTATTGTTTTGTTAATCGAATAAAACCTTCCCAAGAAGGGGGGTGGGGTGGAAAGACGTGTAACAAATTAAATTTTGTCTTTGACAGACGTTTCTTCCTTTATTCGTCCGAAATGAATATTCTGCGTTCGGCAGTATAGGCTAAATACAAAATATTTGTATGTTGCATTGCTAATTTAGTATCTGCAATTGCTGTTTATTTTTCAAAATTAATTTTTTTTTAATTACAATTTGACAGTGTTGAGCATAATCTTGCATGTCTTTACAATTTAAAAACTCCTTGAAGAAGCTTTTTTGCAATAACAGACCCTATTTGCACAAATTCATAAAAGCGGACCCTGGTTGAAGGAATGTGACTTACTCGTAATTTTAGAATATGAAATAAACGTTAATTTTTTCACAATTTTACAAAAACGGACCTTTCACACAATGTCTGGACAGACCCCTGGAAATTCCATTTACCATTGTTACATTATTACAGTTATATTATTATTGTTATACGTATTATACTATTATAGAAATTCCTGCAGTTGAAAAGTTCTTGTTTTTAGCCATTTCTCTCTGTGATTCACACCAATTCTTCACCGGTAATGTCATCGCCGAATGTTCACATGAACCTGATTACAGTGAATGTCACGTGAGTTGTCCTCCAGGATCAACCTTTGATCCTCCTTCTTCCCCTCTCTACAGATGCACAGTTAATGGATTGTGGAACCCCCCAACTGCGCCAAGATGTGCCAAGGAATTGGGTAACTAACATTTCAGAATCAATATTCTCCATCGACTTCATAGAGTATAAATACAGTAAAGATATTATAATTTACCTACTTGAACAAATTTCAATTCTTAGACGTTAGAATATGTATTTACTTTTTGTTATGTAGAATAGTTATATTCTTTTAGAAGTTTTTGAAAATCTTTATTTTAATGTTTATAAAACACTTCTGTGCTGTTGTAACAGTTAATGTATTTTTTAATAGTTATTTAAAAACATAAATTTTAAGTTGTTTCTAACAAAGGGACTTGTAGCTTACTAAGTTTACAAATAATTTGAGGACATCTAACTGCCATATAAGGTTTTGAAAGCGTTACCTCTTAACTAAAAACATTATCATTTTTTAAAATTATATTAGAAATATCTTTCTGCTAGTTTTTTATTTATTTATTTTTTTTTTGCTTTACTTGTATTTTTATCCTGGTAAGTAAAGTATGTATAAACTATTAATGATAGATTTTTAAACCTTTCATTTATATGTTAAAACATATAAATTTAAAATTGTTTTACATTATCAATCTTTCAATTTTCAGTGAGATTTGACACTCAATCATCATAAATCCTAAAATAAATAATTTTTTAAGCTCAACATCTTTTTTTTCCATTAGTAATACAAATCTCAAAGCGACGATGTTTGTTTCACTTATACATATACTTAATCTTGCCTAATTCAAGTTTGGCAATTTCAAATTTGAAATTAGTNTGAACAAATTTCAATTCTTAGACGTTAGAATATGTATTTACTTTTTGTTATGTAGAATAGTTATATTCTTTTAGAAGTTTTTGAAAATCTTTATTTTAATGTTTAAAAAACACTTCTGTGCTGTTGTAACAGTTAATGTATTTTTTAATAATTATTTAAGAACATAAAATTCAAGTTGTTTCTTATGAAGGGACTTGCAGTTTACTAAGTTTACAAATAATTTGAGGATATCAAACTGCCATATAAGGTTTTAAAAACGTTACCTCTTAACTAAAAACATTATCATTTTTTAAAATTATATTAGAAATATCTTTAAGCTAGTTTCTTTATATTTTATTTTCGCTTTACTTATATTTTTATCCCGGTATGTAAAGTATGTATAAACTATTAATCATAGATTTTTAACTTTTTTTTATATTCTAAAACATGTAAATTTAAAACTTTCTTACATTATCACTCTTTCAGTTTTCAGTGAGATTTGACACTGAATCATCAGAAATCCTAAAATAAATAATTTTTTAGGCTCAACATCTATTTTTCCCATTAGTAATACAAATCTCAAAGCGATGTTTGTTTCACGTATACATAATCTTGCCTAATTAAAGTTTGGTGATTTCAAATTTGAAATTAGTTTTGCTCCTATAGCAACAGAGTTTTTTAATTTACACTTTTAGTCTTACTTTTTGTTGGACTGTACCCTTTTAAAAAGGTTATATTTAACAGGGTAACATAAATGTTGCGACAAACATCTAAGGGAATAATAAATCATCATGTTTAAGTTAGTGTGAGAACCCATGTCAGAAACGTCATAAGCTGGTATAGGATCTTCCTTACTATTATTTGTTCAGAAAATAACTAAGAAACAGTTCATAATAAGGGGATACGCCCCTAGTAGCGTATGATGACATTTTTGATTCAGAGTTCCTATTTTAGCTCCGAGAATGCGACTTAACTCCCCTAAAAGTTTGTTACAACATTTGCGTGACTTCTTGTTATTTATACTGCACAACTTGCACATTTCAAAAAGAAAATATACAAAAAATATCATTTAAGAAAACTGCAACTTGTAAAGAGAAACCAATGTCAGATTAGAAATCAGAGACGTGAAAATATCCTAGATCTGTTAAAAAAATCTCATGCAGCGGGGAACAAAAAAAGATACTTTCTCCAGTGTTGCTAATAGGCATCTTTTTAATCTGAAGATCATCGTTCCTTTTAATTTTAAAAATGCTCGCATTTTCAAACTAAATGTTAATTACCTTCATTTTAATTTAATAAGTCTTTGTTTAACATGATGAATTTTATAGGAAAATAAAATTCTTTATTCCCCGATCCGTTTTTCGATAAATAATTCTTGATATTAAGAAATTGCACAAAAACAAATTCAGTTGAAACTAGGATAAATTGTTAATCTGTGTTTTATAAATTATATCTGTGTTTTAAAATACATCTCAAAATATTAAATTTTATTAGTATTAACGATGTTAGTTATTGGTATTAACAATGAATAGGAAACGTGAGAAATGTTTCGTGCCAGTTTTACCCATTACAAAAAATGCCGGATTCCATGCATTAGTAGTAGCATTGATGCCAGAAACATTTCTAAAAGTGAATGGAAATGTTTTGTATAAATAAATGCATCTTTTATTTCAGAGGAGCTATGTTCAATGCCTCCTTCACCGTCTAATGGTGAAATAAAATGCGTAACAAACAGTGAAGTCATGTAAGTATATCGCATTTTGATGCCGAAATTCTTTACTTGTTGTCCAAAGTTTGTCAGATTTGTTTCCCCTTGACTGATCCGCCCAACTATAATCTCTTTACAAACTTACGAATATCTTAAAACTACTGAACAGTTAATAGCTGACTTAACTCTTCTCAGCTATTCTCTGAAGACTATGATGTTACAGCCGTTTAAGAAATGTTTAGTTATTTTACATGTAAACTAACCTAATTTCTACTTTCGCAAAAGCTATTCTTTAATGCATTCAAAAAACTTTAAAGAAAGACAATCAATTTTTTTAAAGATATTGTTTGATTAACACGTTTACACCGGGAAAAGTAAAAATGCTGGTACGGGAAAAGAGAAAATACTGGTAGAAGAACTATTTCAATATTAGATACATTCGGGAGGAGTTAATCTATTCTCAACAATAACAATTCACTGTAAGGAAATTTATCACGGCGAAGAAGCAATTTAATATAAAAATTGCATCAACAAAACAATTGGTAGTTATGAATTTTTATTATTGCCGGAAAAAAACTAAAAAATGAAATTTATTGTTACCAGTTTTTACTCCGGTGCGCTGCCAAGATGAGACAATCTAGCGTTACCCACCGGTCGGTCACCCCGGCGTGAGCGTGTTAAACAAAAGAAAGACAATGTGTCTACAATAAACGTTAAAAAATATTTGCTGCCATTTTAATGAAGATAGTTCTCCGAAGATAGTTAATGAAGATAGTACTCCAATTCGTGTAGCATTTTTTAAAATCTGTTTTATTTTAAAATACTTAATCTGCCATTATAGCTTTTATAAGTAACTGCCAAAAGTCCAGTTTTTTCGATGTTTATAAAGTAATTTAAACTATTTTATGCAACTAGGAAGGGTCAGTTTTGCTTTTCTGACTGCTGTTGTGCTTCCTTCTCATTTTTATTTGCTTTTTTTCCCTTAAAATTCGATATTTCTCACAAAAAAAGGATGTTATTAATAAAATATGCAATTACTATACTTCTATGTAAGATCATTTTATAAATATGTAAATCGTAGCTTAATGAACTATTATTTAGATTTGAAAATTAATCAACTGCTCTTCAAAAGTATTTGACTTTAAAATTATAGAATGTGCGATTTAATAAGAAGTGATTTTTTTACTTGATAACAATTTATATCCATAGCTTTTTATTGTAGAATAGTTCAAATAGCAAAAGGTTTTGATCTTTCTTAAGATATTTACGTTTATCTTTCTTTAATTTTATTCCTCTTATTTATTCTTTTTTTTTCTACATTCGACATCAAGTCAAGCGTAGGAAAATAAAATAATAATCTCTAGAGAAATCTTTCTATAATGATGGATAAATAATCATAATTTGAAGCAATAGAAAATGAAAGAAACTCGCACAAAAAATTGAAAATGCCAGAATTTTCAAATCATTAGGTTTTTTTTTTGAAAAACAACAACTCAGTTTTAGGTTTTTAATTAAAAATAGCCCTTATGGCATGTTATATTTCATATTTGCAGTTATATTATAGCAGGAAGTAGTTAGACAAACATAGTATGCTTTACTTCAAGTTAATAGTTTATAATTAACAGTTTAATAGTTTATAATTAACAGTTTAATAGTTTATAAATAACAGTATAATAGTTTATAATTCATGAACTGAATCGAATCATAATTTTTTGTACTTTTCTCGGCATATCTTTATAATTTCAAAATTCCATATCTCATAGAATTTACAAAGCAAAACTGAATGTAACGTAAAGCCAAAATAAAATTGCAAGAAATCACTTAAATTTGCAATAACTTTCGAACAAATTATAATTTCAAAACAAAAACAAAAAACTCGTTCTAACAAACAAAAACCTAAACAAACATGATCCCTTCAGCATACCAAAATATAAGTCAATTTACAGCATACAATACAGCATACCAAAACACTATACGGGCCGCTCCACATTTCTGCGGCCTGTAGAGCGACCCGTATGGTGTTTTTTTCTAAAAACTTAGCAGTTAATGACTCACGAACAAAATATCTAAAGTTAATTTATTTATTTTTTTCAATTTATTTAGTACAATTTTGTGCAATTTATTTTTTCTACTTATCTTCGTAATTTCAGATTTGTAAATCAAATAGTTTTCTTTTCAAGCAGAAAAACAGAATTTAGCGTTAAGTTTAACTGACGAAACAGTGGTGGTTTCGCTTATGATTTAAAATAGAAAGATAATTAAATGCATATCATAAAAATTAATGCACTCCTGGTTAACTATATTCGCTCAAAAACTTATTCCTTCTCGAGGAAATTTTATTATTTTTATTTTATAATCTGTATTGAACAGCCAACTCAATTCATAAATTATAAATATCGATGTTCAACTCCGTATCCTAGTAATTTTGAACCCAATCCCGAAGACAAGGAAACTCCTAGATCAATCATTGAGGAAAAAGTAGCCTTCATGGAGGACTTTTTGATGAAACTAACCTGCATTTGCTTTACACGAAGTTTTTTTTTCTATAGCTAACAGTAGCTAAACATAGAGTTAATTAGGGCTATTTATCTCTCCTAGTATTTTGAGGCCGTAGAATCCACCGGATGTTTTAATGTTTAATAATTAGTTGTATATTTTGAGTTCGAATAATCTGTCAGATATTTCGAAGTTTAAAAATCCCTTGGATATTTTGAGTTCTGACTATCCAACGAATATTTTAAAGTTTAAAAATACTATGTATACTTTAAGGTCTAAATATACGTCGGATATTTAAAACTCTAAAAATCAATCACGTTTTTTGAAGACTAAGGATCCACTGAGTATTTTAAAAATCCATTTGATGTGTAAGACCTAAAAGCCTTTCAATTATTTTGTGATCTAAAAACCCATCGTAAGTAGAATATGTTTTTTTTAAGGATTTATAATTTCTTGAAAAAGCACATGGATTTGACATGACCAATGAAAATTAACTCAAGCTTTTCCAGTTTTCGTGAATTTATTTGAATTTTTGTAAACATCTTTGCAGGCAGTGCTCCGCCACTTGTCTACCTGGCCATACATTTGGAAATGGTTTCGAAGAATTGTCTATTCAATGCATTAAACGTACTGGAGAATGGTTACCTGAATATGCGTTTCCTGACTGTCAAGGTGACAAATTACCTTTTGTTTCATAATATTCGATTCAATTAATATTTCTGAAATATTTAACAACATATATCCCCCTAAAATCAGATAATTGGAGAAGTACAATAAAAACATTAAACTACTCAAATACACTGGTAGACAAAATTAAGAGATGGAAAGCATTTTCACACATGCAAGATACCCGCACACCGCTCCATGTGTTTGACAATGGTTCCATGAATGCCCAGAGGTACAGGCAGGAGATCCTACAGCCCTATGCGAGTCTTTTCAGGGGCGCTGTTGGCACTGAGTTCATTTTTATGAACGACAATGCGCGACCACATAAAGCTCTCATGGTTGATGAGTATCTGGAAAGCGAGGATATTCAACGAATGGATTGGCCAGCCAAATCCCCTGACCTGAATCCTATTGAACATGCTTGGGATGCTCTAGGGAGAGCCATTGCGATGCCCCAACTTCCCCCCAGAACCATTCTGGAGTTAAAAATTGCTCTGGTGGAAGAATGGGAGGATCTTCCACAAGTCCTCCTTAACTCCTTTATTAACAGCATGCATACTGTCTGTCAGGGATGACCATACACCATACTAGAGGCAGCACACACTGTACATGCCTCACTTTTATTGTCATCTTTCATCCTTAAGTTCAGACTACATTGGATTTATTGGCAATATGTCTTGTCAGTGAATGGTACTTTCATTTTTGTTTTGCATACTTTATTATCATGAAATAAGCTATATCCATACCAAATTTCATTTATATATATTCAGTATTTTTTGAGATATTTGGGAAAATGTCTTCCATCTCTTAATTTTGTCCACCAGTGTATATTGGATTTCTCTCATTAGGGATTTTTATACAATTCATAAAAAATTTATCATTTTAGATATTATTTTTGATGAGTATGGGGCGAGTAGATACATAACCTTCATCTATGAAAAGGTACCCTACCATAGAATCAAGTTAATCTGTCTTAGATACTAGTGAATTGGAATTACATTTTTGTAGTGGTATACACACTACAGTGAGAAATAAAATAAATAGTTATAATTATTATAAAGGCTCCTCAAAAGTAAATGATATCGCGACTCGGAATGCATAAGCTCAATATGTATTGGTTGAGGGACGACATATTAGACAAGTGTTATTGAATTTTCAATAAATAGGTGATAAGCTAGCCTTCAATAAGCTACATTTAGACGTGGAACTTTAGAACGTTTTCAATGCTTCTCAAACTTTTTTTCTTTAGCATAGCTTAATTTGTTAGATTAATTTCATCTCTTTTATATTTGTACATAATTTATTAATTAATTGTGATATTTTGTGCCTAATTGATTTATTATTTGCGATGATTTGTACATAATACCATTGGGGATACTTTGTAACATTTCTGCATTATTTATTACCGATTTCTAAAATATAAGCTATAAGTTGAAATAGAGTTTTAAATCATATTTCGTTTTCAAGGAATAAATAAATAAAAATATTTAAGCTCTCTTTCCTTTACGCCGCAAATATTAAAAAAAACAATGACATTAGATTTGTTTTCGAAATCAGATGTATGATATGGGAACAGAATTAAATAAAAAAATTATTTTTTTAATAATATAAATTGCTAAAATATTTCTAAAACTTTATTATATAACTGTAGATCTGCACAGTGTATTCCATAAACTGTGTCAATAAATTATAAAATCTTGATCAAAAATGAAATAAAAAATATGCTCATAAAGCTCAAAAAATAAAACTTAAGTTAGCCGATACATTAACTCAAATCCTATGTCTAACTATTAGGTAAATCAAATTTTAAAAGATTAAAACCACTAGAGGTGAAAGATTGAAGATGTTTTATTTAAATTCACCTCGTTCATCTGCTTCAAATTTTTTAAGCAATCAAAAAAGTATTTGTGCATTTAATATAATTAGATTCCTAAGAATTCCTTCGTTAAGGAATCGTTCGGCTTTCAAGATTACTTTTTTTTTGTTTAAGTAAAAATATCCTAGCACTAATATTTACACCTTCTTTAATATATTGGTTTCTTTGAGAAGTAATTTCATTTATGAAAATGTAAGATGTTTTTAGCGAATAAAAATTTTATCTAATTAAATATTTTCCTTTCTGGTTCAATGCCGTTTCCATCGTTCTGGCTGCTACATAATTCCACTCTCATAAGTCTTTTTCTTTGCTTGGCAAAAATTTATCTAGGTGATTTTTGGCATCCTCATTTGAAGTAAAGGCTTTGCAATCTGATTAAGTTGTAGAGACAGGAACAGTAGACTACCCATTTCTCCTCCAATTGTACGGCAATTAAAGTTTAGCCTTTTGAACTGTTTTACCGTATTGTTTGACGTAGCATGTCCTCTTTTGGACTTGCGCCACTAAACTCTACATTCAATCCAAACCAAATCCAATTTCTCCTTCTCAAAGATGATGCGGATTGAGAATGGATAATTTTTTTTTTCACATTTAAAAAGACAACCATAGACGTCAACGTGATAGCACAAATACTCAATCGAATTTCTTCACAAAGAAACCTTGCTGTATCAAATGAGCATCAGCTAAAGTCTGAAGTTGCAGTGAAAAAATACAATCACGTTCTTTGTTGAGAAAAATAGAAATTACTTTTCGAACCACTCAATATTTTTTTTATAAGAAAGTAAATAAACAAAAACGAAATATTTCGGTTAACTGAGTTTACATGTCAATTATGACAACAATCAGAGCTATTTAAATTAAAGGGCATAAAGCAATGAAAAAAACAACAGATAAAATTGAAGGCCGGGATAGACTATCGGTAGGGCGCATGTCCGAGAGTTCATGGGTTCGAACCCCACCGGCCGAAGACTCCCCGTGTAGTAAATGGTTACTGATGCACGGTAAATCTATCGAGTCGCAAAGTCGTCCATGTTACTTATAACAAATCAATACCTCTGGGGGTACTGGATAGGAGATCGATTCAGGTCAAAATTATGATCCATGGATGAATGAATGGATGTATGAATGGGACCGCCCTATAAACGGGTGTGACGTATGGTGTGTCAGAAGTCGAATTCTTGGCCACAGATGGCGCCACTGAAAAACAGGAACAATAGCACTCCTCTGCCTAAACTGGCATACGAAAGCAAGCAAGATAAAATTGAAAAAGAAAACAATGTACAATTGTATAAAGTATGCAATACTGGTGATAATACAATAGGTATATTAATGGGTAAGTACAAATGAGGGTATGAGCAGAGCTAGCGCATGAAAGACGTTATAGGACGTTATAGGCGTTATAGGATAGATGTTATAGGATATAATCGCATGAGTTGTGATCACAAAAGACTGAAGTTCGATTCTCAGTTGCGGCGTGAAGCCCACTCATCTTTAGATTGGTGGACACCAGCTTGTTTGAGAAATAAAAGTGACCTGTGCACAGTACTGACAGTACCGCAAACATTCCATTGGTCACAAAATTGAAGAGGCTTAACCTCCATTTACACCTTGGCTCACAGTTGGTTGTTGTTAGAATACTTTATTTTTGTGGGAAAGAGTATGGAGAGCACAACTTTGTAAGGAAGGTACTTAATAACACTTTTTTTATATTTCATGTTTTACAAAATTAAGAAATATGAAAGGCGGTGAGTACAGAACACCTTACGTATTAAATCCTTAAGCCACTACGTGTTTAGGAAAGTAATAAATGGACTAATAATAATAGTACATGGTTTATACTGTAGCACTAGGCTGATACACAATTACTGATACACTTAACATTACACTAATTCACCAATAAACTCTGATTTTATCTTCTTATATTTACCTAAATCTATTTAAACTTCTTTATTTGGGCATTTAAAGTTGCTCATTAAAATCATAACATATGCACTGATGTCTAAGTCATTAAAAATAAAAATAAGAAACTTTTAAAGATTTCGCTCCAACGAGAAAGAATTTCTTCTGTATCATTTCTTAAATAAGCAAAGCATTTTGTTTGATGAAGCACTTCAAAACAACAAAGTGATCAATATTTATATTTAAAGCATATCTTCAGGCAATTAATTTACTTACACGAACATTAAAATGCTTCTTTTAAAAATAATTTTGAAAACAATTCACTTAAAAAACTCTTGAATCCAGTGATGCCGGTTTCTGAATTAAACTAAATTGCTGTTATTTGTTTTCTCTCAATTATTTATTCGCTTCTTTTTACAAATCAAGTTTTAAATTTGAAATGAGACACGTATATTTATCGATTTTAGACGCTAATTTAAAATCTTTTTTTTTCAACAAAGGGGTATTTTTATGCTTGTTTTTTTTCTGGAAATTCTGTTTTTAAAGAATGACAAAAAATGGAAGAGTAAAAATAGTAGAGTTTCTTTCATTAGTAATTTATATAAACAAACTCACGTTTTCATCTTAGAAATAAATAAACAGCATGCATTTCTGTTTCACCGTATTTGTTTGCAAATGAGTTGCGTCGATGTTTTATAAGTTTTAGCTTTTTTGTATGTAGACACGTTTTCAAATTTATTCAGAAAACTAAAATTCAAGTTTAGAATTTAATTTAAATGCTCTGAAGAAAGTTAAATTTTAACTATAGTTAGGCTGAGCTTTTGTTTTAACATTACATTTTATAAAGAATTTATCTTCATTTTCCATTAAAAAGCCTTATTTCAAAAATAGTTTTACTTTAAAAAGAAACCTAAATGAGCATTAAAACAATGAAGTTACTTTTGAAAAATAATAATCATTTTCCTAATTTTTATTTAGTTCATTGCTTAGTTCATAAATTAACATAAATATTAAAAAAGCGAAAAAAATTTCATTCGTTTTATCGAAAAAATTTTAATTAATTGAAACTTTGAAATTAAAAATTTATAACAAGAAAAGGAACTATATAGGTAAGGTGTTTCAGAAACACCATGAGGATGAAAGTTTGTCATAGAATATGGCTTTGCAAATTACATAAAGAAGGTAAAAATTGCGAAAAGCCTGTACAGGTGTAACGGTAAGCTTGAAAATC